CTTAGGTTTTGCCCCTTCTCTAAAAAATACCTACTATTGTATGTATGGGGGGGAAGGCGATTTCTCTCTCATGTTTGGATTCTGAGTATTAGATTTCTCTTTAGGTGGGACATTCGAGACCGACCTATTGCTAAATCTGGTCCTTGGTGAATGGGGTCTAATTTGCTCGTTATTCTTTCTAAAAGAAATGGAATCACGGCTATTTACAGACGCGGCTGTCGCGGTGGGGTTTGGGGCCGTTCTGGGCTTTAGTGGGTGTGCTCCCGTGTTGCCGGACAGTTGGCATATCTCTGGGCTTACAAAGAATCTGGCCTTTTTGTAAGGGTAGTGTTTCACTGCGACAATTTGGGGGTTGTTCAGGCCATTACTCGGCTGACAGCCTCCTTCCCTCCGGTGGTTCGCTTGCTTAAGGGGCAATCGCCCCGCAGGCGGATCTGGAGGGGACGCCTTGCACGGCGGACATCTTGTTGCTTAGTCAGGCAGAGTGACGGAATGGGTCCGTGGATTGGTTTCCAGGGCCACCTGGTCGCTATGCTCCTGGGGGCTGTGCATGTTGGGGTATTGGTGATTCCTAGTTGGCGCCCTGCGGATCATATCACTATTAGTATTTGACAATCCAGGTCAGCTGTTTTTTTGGGAAGGGTATGGTGGTTCAGCTGTTGCACTTTACCTTTGTGGAGAACTGTGAGCTGCGCCCAGTATGCACGAGCCCTCTTTTGGGTTATGCGGATGGGATCTTTTCTTTCACATTCCCAATTCTTTGGGTCTTTCGCTCGAGTCTGATGGTTCTGGGGATTGTCAGCAAGGAATCTTGTGGCATACCTTTCGGTTTAGCGCTGCCTTGGAGGCTTTTAGGATGGGTATGTCAGCGCACGTGGCGCAAAGAACCGGGATGGTGTATGATGAGATGTCTCGTGAAGTAATGCTGGTTTCGTGGAATTTGTTCAATCCTTGGGGGGTTGCGGGTTCAATTCTCAGCAGCGGTGGCTCATCCATTCATTCCTTTGAGGTAGATAAATGAGTACCAGTTCCTTGGGTACAAGTAACAATACCCAGGGTGCACTTGGAAAACAGAAAATATCTGGATGTCTCTTTCCTGGTTATACTCCCAGGTGGCATGCAGGTGTCCGTCCAGGAGGTGAGCTATTGGGTTGTGCGCCTTCTGGAGTGGAGGTTCGTTGGTTTGGTGCCGGAGGTATGAAATGTGTTTGGCTCCTCCCAGAGCAAGCTCAGCTGTCCCATCTGTCCCTAATGTTCGGGTTATCCACCTGGGGGGCATTGAGCTTGGGACGATACCAAGGTGGTGTTTGGTGTCTGCCCCTAAGAGGGTAATGGGGCATGTTTTAGTTGTTTCGTGATGTGTGGTGTTAGGTTCACTGTATGACCCTAACAAGTTATATATGTTATGTTATGGTTATTTATGTTTAACGTTTTGGTTTCAGAAAAGAAGAGAGATTATAATTATAGAGATTAATTTAATAAATTCTGGATGTGTTATACAGTACTTGTCGTATGTTATAACAAAAGCAGTTATAAAAAATAAAACATTAAATAAAAAATAAATAAATAAGATAAAAAAATCAATAAATAACCTCGACTGGTTGGAGGTCATTTCCTGTATCTTTTGGCAGCGGGCCCATAATCAGTGCATGGTATGCTGCCGTATGAAGCAAAATTGGAGGGCCTTTAGAGGTGTTTGAGGGTAAGGGGATTTTGCCACAGGGTGTTTTCGCACATGTGGCAGCTACTGTGTTTCTGGGTGATGGAGGTGTGACAGAACCATCTGTTTGGTTATTTTGGGTGTAAATGGCTGTTTCCTATAGCCCAGCCATACGAATGACTGTTTTTCCCGAACAAACCTACCAAACGGACGGCCACCCAGGAGAGAAGTGGGCTGCTAGTTAACCTATTGATCCCAATTAGAACGTTGCAGTTAACCGCAGACACTTCTCAATTAAACCGAATTCAGGGTAGTCGTAGTTCGTATGTCGACCACGAGGCAGCGGCCATTTTAAACCACGCGAAAGCCCAGCGGTGTTTGGCTCTATTTCTATGGAACTAAAAACGGACACTTTTTCTGCCGAACACCGCTGAAACAACGAAACACCTGGCTGCCTCCACGAAAGCATACGAATACCGGCCGTTCGGGAGCTTTGAAGCATACGAAAGGACTTAACCCAGGTAGCCTTCCCATGGAGTCATTCGTATACCGAAGGACTTTAAGAACTTTGACTCCATGGCGATTGAACTATGGGTGTGTGATCTGAGCGCTATTCGCTAATAATATGCACTCAGATCCAGGCTATCTGGGGATATGTGATGCGAATGGGAAATGTTCGGTTTTTGTGAAGTTATGTCTTTTCTGATTTTATATTTAAAATGGCGACTGGCTTTGTCCTGGAGATAATTGAGTTACTTATTAATTATCCCCAGGGCAGATGGGAGAAAACCATATTGCATTGTGGGTAAAAGCTGTGGCTGTGTGTCTGGAATGTCCCCATATCTGTCTGTCATTTCAGTCTCCCATTTGGTCCCCTACTGGAGTGTCCACCAAGTGGGAGACCTGCATAAATACGGGCAGGTAGCCCACAGTAAAGCCAGATCCTGTTTGACCCTCAATGCGGAGCTTCTGTCTCGTTATTGGGGGGATTTATTATTTGCGCTTAGAGACTGCTGGATGGAACCGAAAACCGCCTGGTGGATATTATTGTTCGGCGGCTAGCAGCAGTTCGTAGAGTTCCGTTCGGGAGGTTGGAGCCGTTCACGGATCCCGGTTGGGAGATTGCCGCTTCCCCTGAGTTTGGTTCGTGCACTACAGTTATGCGAACGGAGATTATTGGTACTGCAGAAGGGGAAGGTCGACTAAATGGCGGTTTCGTTTAAAGACACAAGGGGTGTCTTAACAGGAGGTCCGGCTAGACCTTTTTTCGTCTTGCCATGCAGGAAGTGGTGGAACAGGCCTGGTTGGTTTTGGTGGGGCTCCCCTGCTGATTTTATGTTTAAAACAGTGGGGTTTGTGGCGGGGAGCATGTCCTTGCCAACAGGGTTGGGGAGCAGATGGAATGTCAGGAGATGGACATGGTGGGTCTCAACCTCCCCTGCTCTGTAAGGTAAACTTTTAAGTTACTGAATAGGACGTGCCCACCGAGCAAAAAGCCGGCTGGTGGTAGAGCATTTAAGATGATGGGAATTTTTGGTTTGGACGAGGGGGGAGGCGAGACACCAGTGGGTATATATATATTTATGTGTTTATTTATATTTGAATTAAAGAAAAATAATAAAGTTCGGATGAGTCCTACAGTTGTAAGTTTAATAAATACTGTGGCCTGTTTCATCCAATTTTCGTTGTTTGTCATTATTGGGGGAGAATTGGGACAGTCTCCTTACTCTTAATCGCACCACATTTCCCGCTACGTACATACATGAAATCACACACTTTGAAGCAGCACTTAGATGTAGCAACCAAGCTATATTCAAGAGCTGAAAAATGATCAATGTTGCATATTAGGACGTGTCTCACCACAGACTGTTTGCAGGAAATTGTTGAGGTTTGGTTTTAAGTGTTTAATGTCCGGTCACTGACAGAATCATGTTATAAACTAAGAAAAACAGCATTTTATTTTCGACGAGGAACCTATAACAGCCTTATTTAACCCCTTAAGGACCAAACTTCTGGAATAAAAGGGAATCATGACATGTCACACATGTCATGTGTCCTTAAGGGGTTAAACAAACAAACAAACACATGAAGGGTGAAAAAAAAAGGTGTCAAACAATAGCAGTATGTTGCTGCTAAAAAATATGTAAAATGTGATATTATTGTAGTGAAATCACATGTGTGAGAGCCAGCCTGTCAACTCTATAGTGACAGCCAAGTGCAATCCCTTTATGATGCTTGATCTTCCACAGTTATATATATAAAATAAAAATATACACAATAGAGCCTTATATAGAAGTTCCGATCACTGAGTATGAGATCATTAAGATGTGTCTGGTGTCCTACATTGGAAAATACTGCTTGTTCTAAAATGTTATTAGCTCCACCTAATTCTAGTGACGTCCACGCACGCTGACCGTTTTTACACAATATACTGTGTGTTAGTGTGCACACTGCGTATCACCTTATTTGTTCATGTTTTTAAGCTTTATTTACAGTTTCCATCACCAGGCTAGCTTAGAGCTTCCAGATCTCCAGGAGAAGGTGACCAGCGCTCAGCAGATTCCCGATGACTTTGCAAATAGTTTGACTACTTACTCTGGGCTCCAGGGCACTCACTTTAGTGGTTATGGTTGTTTGAGACTTCCTTTACGCCAATTTGCAATCCAAGAACAAGACGTTTCCTCTGATCCAATTGCTTTTAATTTGTGCAATAATCCATATAGATGGCATCCACTTCACACCCTGATCTACTGACTTCTTCCTGGAATTCAATTAAAGGAATACTCCAAGCACCATAACCACTACAATGTGATGGTCATGGTACCAGGGCTGCCCTAGTATTGATAAAATGTAAACAGCCAAACCATTTGCTAGCAGTTAGATCAGTTACCTGGGGTCCTGCTTGTCTCCTTCATGTGGCATGTTTCTGTTAGTACTCCTAAAATAAGCTGTGATCAATCTCAGCCAATGAGCTGAATCCTGCACCTCCAAACCTTCCGCAGGCAACATGCTTACAGCTGCTGTAGTGGAAACAGGGAGCAGTAACTGGAAGACCTCATGTAAGAAATCGAACCATTGGCACAAGAGTACTCATGGCTTGTAGTGTACCTTTAAAGAGAAGGTCTCCAGTGCTTCGTCTCATATTCAGTTTAATGATAAATATCCTTTATCCTGTGCATACTGCCTGTATTATGAGCACTGCGAGTGACATGCAAGGGTGATGAAAGACCTGCAGAAGGTTAAACCACTCACATGTTTAATAACTGGCATTCTCTGACCCAGCAAAGAGGAAGTGTAACAAGTACTTTCTGTATTACTTGCGCCACAGATACAGTCAGCAGGAGAAGGTGCTAACAGACACAGCATCTGAGTGCAGCACAGGGCAGGCCTGACGGACAAAGTGGGGAGCAAAGCTGGACAGGCAGAGAGAGCTTGGGATCTGGAGGAAGGAGAATCCAGTGTGTAAACCTAGGTGGGTATCAAGAAATAATACTCGATAATGATCCCGGTAGAGAATTACAGATAGACAGACACAGACAGACAGACTAGTCAATCTAGGTGATCTAACCACTTACAGTCTGTCTGTTTTCCTACAATGAATTACTCTATAGTCAGACCAATGAGTAATTGAGTAATTCTTCCCACAATGTGCCCAGTTGTTGCTGCTCAGCTCTGTCTCTTCAATATCTGGTTTCAGGTTGTGCTCTATATTTCGCACAGTGTTTGTGGTAATTCGGTAAAATGGGTGAGGATGATTCATCTAAAATCAATCTATCTGATCCAGGACCCACGGGGACCGCACACTCCAAAACCAACCAAAAAGGTAAATTGAGAAGTCATGGCATTTAGCTAGAGAAAGTATTATAAGAGACAGTATGATAAGATAAAGGGAATGTAACTAGAGACAGCCTGCAAGGAGACGAGCTATGTAACTAGAGACAGTGTGATTAAACATTGGGTATGCAACTAGAGACAGTATGATAAGAGACAGGATATATAACTAGAGACAGCATAATAAGAGACGAGGTATGAAACTAGAAACTGTATGATAAGAGACAGGATATATAACTAGAGACAGCATAATAAGAGTCGAGATATGAAACTAGAGACTGTATGATACGAGACCAGGTATGTAAATAGAGACAGTATGATCAGAAACGGAGTATGTAAATAGAGACAGTATGAGAAGAGACGGGGTATGAAACTAGAAACTGTATGATCAGAAACGGAGTATGTAACTAGAGAAAGTATGATAAGAGACAGGATATATAACTAGAGACAGCATAACAAGAGATGAGGTATGAAACTAGAGACAGTATGATCAGAGATAGGGTATGAAACTAGAGACAGTATGATGAGAGACGGGTATGCAACTAGAGACAGTATGATAAGAGACAGGATATGTAACTAGAGATAGTATGATAAGAGACGGGGTATGAAACTAGAGACAGTATCATAAGAGAGAGGAGACAGAGAGAGGATATGTAAAAAGATACAGTATGATAAGAGACGGGGTATGTAACTAGAGAGAGTATGATCAGAGACGGGGTATGTAAATAGAGATGGTATGATTAAAGAAAGGGTATGCAACTAGAGACAGTAAGATAAGAGACAGGATATGTAACTAAACACGGGGTATATATATAGAGACAGTATGATAGGAGACGGACACTATGAGAAGAGACGGGGTATGTAAATAGAGACAGTATGATAAGAGATGGGATATGTAACTAGAGACAGTATGATCAGAGACAGGGTATGTAAATAAAGACAGTATGATCAGAGACAGGGTATGTAACTAGAGACAGTATGATCAGAGACGGGGTATGTAACTAGAGACAGTATGATCAGAGACAGGGTATGTAACTAGAGACAGTATGATCAGAGACAGGGTATGTAACTAGAGACAGTATGATCAGAGACAGGGTATGTAAATAGAGACAGTATGATCAGAGACGGGGTATGTAACTAGAAACAGCATAATAAGAGACGAGATATGAAACTAGAGACAGTATGATATGAGACCGAGTATGTAAATAGAGACAGTATGATCACAGACGGGGTATGTAACTAGAGACAGTATGATAAGAGATGGGATGTGTAACTAGAGACAGTATGATAAGAGACGGGATATGTAACTAGATACAGTATGATAAGAGACGTGGTATGCAAATAGAGACAGTTTGATAAGAGACGGGGTATGTAACTAGACACGGGGTATGTATATAGAGACAGTATGATAGGAGACGGGGTATGAAACTAGAGACAGTATGAGAAGAGACGGGGTATGTAAATAGAGACAGTATGATAAGAGACGGGGTATGTAACTAGAAACAGTATGATCAGAGACAGGGTATGTAACTAGAGACAGTATGATAAGAGACGGGGTATGTAACTAGATACAGCATAATAAGAGACGAGATATGAAACTAGAGACAGTATGATAAGAGACAGGGTATGTAACTAGAGACAGTATGATAAGAGAAGGGGTATGTAAATAGAGACAGTATGATCACAGACGGGGTATGTAACTAGATACAGTATGATCAGAGACGGGGTATGTAAATAGAGACAGTATGATAAGAGAAGGGGTATGTAAATAGAGACAGTATGATCACAGACGGGGTATGTAACTAGAGACAGTATGATCAGAGACGGAGTATGTAACTAGAGACAGTATGATCAGAGACGGGGTATGTAAATAGAGACGGTATGATAAGAGGCGGGGTATGTAACTAGACACGGGGTATGATCAGTATGAAAAGAGAAACAAAAGTATCCCTATAGGGAGACTACTGTGTTATTGTGTCAGGGACAACCTCATAGGGGATAACCCTTGCTTAAGTAAAGAAAAATGAAAATTCCAGCGAGAAAAATCTCTCTGGAATAATGAGTAGGAAGTCCCTTTAATCATCAGATCGAATAGTATAAAATGTAACTTTTATTGGTAAGTTCAAAATGTGTAAGTAGGAATGAAAAAATAAAAGTAAAAAATAGAACAGATAGACAGGCAGATTGGTAAGTATGTCCACTAGTTGTGAAGAGAAAAAATTTCTCAGTCTATTGATATAGAACAAAATAGTGTCCACCAATGAATCATAGAGTCCCCACTCTGGGAAATTGAGAGAGATATATAGAGTGAGCAAGCTAGCAATATTGTGAATCACTCACACTGTATCAATTGTGAGTTGTCCTTAGTTATAAATAAATGCAAGAAATATTAACAATGCTTGAATGGTGAACATGGGCTGTTGAATTGAAAGAGCCCATATAGGTACAGCAAACAGGTATATATAGAACTAAGGAAGAGAGAGAGATCCCCTACAATCAATAAGTAAAAAACAAATATATAACAGGTGCCTAGATAAACTGTTGTCCTGGTTATAAAAAGTAATGCTTGCTAAATATGGGTGGGCTATCTTAATCAGAACGAGCCCAATATAGTAAAGCATGAAAAAGGAGTATAATTACAGCTAGATGCCCTTCAATTTCAACTTGGAATCAACTCCCAAATCTAGATAACACCCCCCACTGGAAACAACTATAGCACTTGTAGAGAACTAGTCCGATCCAATGTGGAGAGAGCAGCCTGAAGACTCTAACTGCCTGTCTAAAAACGCCTGGAACTACCTAACATATGTTTCGGCGCTGTTAACGCGCCTTCGTCTGAGGCAAGGCAACCGGATGCAGCTCTCCGGTAACAATTTAAAGCTGCACATAGCCAATCACTGTAAGGGGGGCGTGGTTACACCATTCGCGCCCAAACAGGGTACGAATTGGCCACGCCCCCTATGAACGTGGTGCCTAATGATTGGTGGGAAGCCCCTAAGGGAAACGAACCAAGTTAACCCTTGATATTACTATTTTATCACAGTCTGTAGAGAACATTTGAGGAATGTTACTTAGTCCATGTGAATATTAATAAACTAGAGACCTAAACAAAAGGTCTCAAGAGGCACATGAATGGAATGTGGATACAAGAAAAATAATAATGATAATAATAATACTCGCATAAGCTCCACTTGTTAAAGAAAAAGGATCCAATTATGTGTAATTCAGATGGCTTATATAGTAATATGTAAAGAGTTCATTTAGACTGGAAAGAAGGGGGAGAGGGGCTTGCTCAGGCTCCACTTCTATATCAGAGATAGGGTATGAAATAAACATAAATTCATAACCTACAAAAAAAGAACGCTTGGCTCTCCATAAATTTTTCTATAACCATAATGAAAAGAGAGCAAAAGAATTAGGGTTCAATATGAGGGAATATCAATGCCTGAAAGACCTTGTGTCCCTACTGGAAGATAATGATGACACTAGAGATATACCATACACTGACTTGTGCCCTAAAAGTAAGTTCACTCCCAATATAAAAGACTTCAAGAACATTGATATGTTCATCGAGTCGTCTTGTAAAATGATTGAGAAAATCTCAATGGATTCACTACAATTCTATCCACACAACAATCTCACCCATGATGAACGAAGGGCTCTTCATGAACTACAGAATAATCAGGACCTTATCATTAAGCCAGCAGATAAGGGAGGTAATGTTGTGGTTATGAATAGATCCCAGTACATTGAACTAGCCTCGAGCATTCTCAGTACCGAACAAACATACAGAATACTACCTACTGACCCTACGAATAAGTTCCTTTGTGAACTTAAAAATTTGCTAGACTCAGCTTTTGACAGTGGAGTTTTGAGTAAAGATGAATATGCATATATTTACATAAGAAACCCCACCGTGTCGACATTTTACTGTTTACCTAAAGTACATAAACAGTATAATCTACTGACAGCTAGACCTATAGTGTCCGGATCAAATAATCTAACATGTAGAGCTAGTATCTACATTGATAGAATTCTTCGTCCACATGTAGAGAAATTACCGTCTTACTTAAAAGACACAAAGGACACTTTAAAATTCCTGCTAGCTACCAAGCTACCGGAGGGTGCTATTATATGCAGCCTTGACGTAGAGGCACTATATTCATCTATTCCTCATACCTCAGGTGTATCCCATAATCGACATTTTTTGAACACACGAGGAACAAAACATCACAGTCATACATGCTTTGTGATTGATTTACTCAAATTTGTACTCACTCACAACTTTTTTCTCTTCAACGGTCGATACTACCACCAGGTGCAAGGCACAGCGATGGGCACGTCTTGTGCCCCATCTTATGCCAATTTGCACCTAGGGTGGTGGGAAGAGAATGTGGTATACTCAGAAATGAATGCCGAATTCACCAAGTACATCTTCCTATGGAAGAGATACATAGATGACATTCTCATTGTTTGGACCAGCACCGTTGACTCCTTTACAACTTTTGTTGAAAGACTTAATTCGAATAACCTGAACCTTAGGTTCACGATGGAAATTGGACATGAGTCCCTTAATTTCTTAGACTGCACTCTGAGAATTACGGATGAGCATCTCATTGAAAGCACTTTGTTTAGAAAACCCACCTCAACTAATACGATGTTGAGGTGGGAAAGCTACCATCCTTTAACGCTGAAGAGAGGTATCCCAGTTGGCCAATACCTCCGCTTGAGGAGGAACTGCTCGACCGTGGATGATTTCATCCTCCAGGCCAAATCTCTGCGATTGAGATTCAAAGAAAGGGGGTATCCCAACCGCTGCTTGAAATATGCCTACCAGAGGGCACTCAATAGTGATAGAGGGGGACTCTTTCAAGACAAACCAGTATCTCTTAAACCTGAACCTATCAGATGCATAGCTAATTTTGATGCTGGATGGGAACAAGCTAAAAAGGTACTAAATAGGTTTTGGCCCCTCCTCTCACAGGACCCCCAACTAGATGGAGTTGTTACTCCACATGTATCCCTCACTGCACGAAGAGGAAAAAATCTAAAAGAAACCCTTGTACCTAGCCACTTTTCACTCAAACAAACACAACAATGTTGGCTATCAGTGCAAGGGACTTACCAATGTGGTAAATGCGTGGCTTGTGGATACATCAATAAAGGCTCAAAAGAACTAACAGATTCAACAGACAAAACCATCTGTAAGGTCAAACATTTTTTCAATTGCAATACAAAGGGAGTTATATATCTCCTTAGCTGTGTTTGCGGCTTGAAATATGTTGGCAAGACGATACGCCCCTTTAAAAAGAGAATCATGGAGCATGTATACTCCATTAGAAACCTCAGAGAAACCCCTGTGGCAAGACATATTAGAACTAGCCACAACGGAGATTCTAAAGCCATTAAATTTGCAGGCATCGAAAGGGTCAATACAGGCGCTAGGGGAGGAGATCTGGATAGAATCCTCTTAAAAAGGGAATCGTTCTGGATCTATAGATTCAACAGCTTAGCCCCCAACGGCTTAAATGAGGGCTTTACCTTTACACCATATATTGATAAATAATAATGAAGTACTTTAATTAAATTTCACTAACACTTTTTGTTCTACCTCTTTTTTTGTAGGTTATGAATTTATGTTTATTTCATACCGTATCTCTGATATAGAAGTGGAGCCTGAGCAAGCCCCTCTCCCCCTTCTTTCCAGTCTAAATGAACTCTTTACATATTACTATATAAGCCATCTGAATTACACATAATTGGATCCTTTTTCTTTAACAAGTGGAGCTTATGCGAGTATTATTATTATCATTATTATTTTTCTTGTATCCACATTCCATTCATGTGCCTCTTGAGACCTTTTGTTTAGGTCTCTAGTTTATTAATATTCACATGGACTAAGTAACATTCCTCAAATGTTCTCTACAGACTGTGATAAAATAGTAATATCAAGGGTTAACTTGGTTCGTTTCCCTTAGGGGCTTCCCACCAATCATTAGGCACCACGTTCATAGGGGGCGTGGCCAATTCGTACCCTGTTTGGGCGCGAATGGTGTAACCACGCCCCCCTTACAGTGATTGGCTATGTGCAGCTTTAAATTGTTACCGGAGAGCTGCATCCGGTTGCCTTGCCTCAGACGAAGGCGCGTTAACAGCGCCGAAACATATGTTAGGTAGTTCCAGGCGTTTTTAGACAGGCAGTTAGAGTCTTCAGGCTGCTCTCTCCACATTGGATCGGACTAGTTCTCTACAAGTGCTATAGTTGTTTCCAGTGGGGGGTGTTATCTAGATTTGGGAGTTGATTCCAAGTTGAAATTGAAGGGCATCTAGCTGTAATTATACTCCTTTTTCATGCTTTACTATATTGGGCTCGTTCTGATTAAGATAGCCCACCCATATTTAGCAAGCATTACTTTTTATAACCAGGACAACAGTTTATCTAGGCACCTGTTATATATTTGTTTTTTACTTATTGATTGTAGGGGATCTCTCTCTCTTCCTTAGTTCTATATATACCTGTTTGCTGTACCTATATGGGCTCTTTCAATTCAACAGCCCATGTTCACCATTCAAGCATTGTTAATATTTCTTGCATTTATTTATAACTAAGGACAACTCACAATTGATACAGTGTGAGTGATTCACAATATTGCTAGCTTGCTCACTCTATATATCTCTCTCAATTTCCCAGAGTGGGGACTCTATGATTCATTGGTGGACACTATTTTGTTCTATATCAATAGACTGAGAAATTTTTTCTCTTCACAACTAGTGGACATACTTACCAATCTGCCTGTCTATCTGTTCTATTTTTTACTTTTATTTTTTCATTCCTACTTACACATTTTAAACTTACCAATAAAAGTTACATTTTATACTATTCAATCTGATGATTAAAGTTACTTCCTACTCATTATTCCAGAGAGATTTTTCTCGCTGGAATTTTCTTTTTTCTATGATCAGTATGATCAGAGACGGGGTATGTAACTAGAGACAGTATGATAAGAGACGGGGTATGTAATTAGAGACGGTATGATAAGAGACGGGGTATGTAACTAGTTACAGTAAAATAAGCGACGGGGCATGAAACTAGAGATAGTATGAGAAGAGAAGGGGTATGTAAATAGAGACAGGATGATCAGAAATGGTGTATGTAACTAGAGACAGTGTGATAAGAGATGGGATATGTTACTAGAGACAGTATGATAAGAGACGGGTTATGTAACTAGATACAGTATGATAAGAGATGGGATATGTAACTTGAGACAGTATGATAAGAGACGGGGTATGTAACTAGATACAGTAAGATAAGAGATGGGGCATGAAACTAGAGACAGTGTGATAAAAGACGGGGTATGTAAATAGAGACAGTATGATCAGAGACAGGGTATGTAACTAGATACAGTAAGATAAGAGACGGGACATGAAAATAGAGACAGGATGATCAGAGACGGGGTATGTAACTAGAGACAGTATGATAAGAGACGGAGTATGTAACTAGATACAGTATTATAAGAGATGGGGCATGAAACTAGAGACAGTGTGATAAAAAACGGGGTATGTAAATAGAGACTGTATGATCAGAGACGGGGTATGTAAATAGAGACAGTATGATCAGAGAAAGGGTTTGTAACTAGAAACAGCATAATAAGAGATGAAATATGAAACTAGAGACAGTATGATAAGAGACAGGGTATGTAACTAGATACAGTAAGATAAGAGACGGGGCATGAAACTAGAGACAGTATGATCAGAGACGGGGTATGTAACTAGAGACAGTATGATAAGAGATGGGATATGTAACAAGAGATGCGGTATGTAAATAGTGACAGTATGATCAGAGACAGGGTATGTAACTAGGGACAGTATGATCAGAGACAGGGTATGTAAATAGAGACAGTATGATAAGAGACGGGGTATGTAAATAGAGACGGTATGATTAAAGAAAGGGTATGCAACTAGAGTCAGTATTATAATAAAGACAGGATATGTAACTAGAGACAGTATGATAAGAGACGGGGTATGTAACTAGATACAGTATGATCAGAGACGGGGTATGTAACTAGAGACAGTATGATAAGAGACGGGGTATGTAACTAGATACAGTATGATAAGAGACGGGGTATGATACAGTATGATAAGAGACGGGGTATGTAACTAGATACAGTAAGATAAGAGATGGGGCACGAAACTAGAGACAGTGTGATAAAAGACGGGGTATGTAAATAGAGACAGTGTGATCAGAGACAGGGTATGTAACTAGAGACAGTATGATAAGAGATGCGGTATGTAAATAGTGGCAGTATGATCAGAGACAGGGTATGTAACTAGAGACAGTATGATCAGAGACAGGGTATGTAAATAGAGACAGTATGATAAGAGACGGGGTATGTAAATAGAGACGGTATGATTAAAGAAAGGGTATGCAACAAGAGTCAGTATTATAATAAAGACATGATATGTAACTAGAGACAGTATGATAAGAGACGGGTTATATAACTAGATACAGTATGATAAGAGACGGGTTATATAACTAGATACAGTATGATAAGAGACAGGGTATGTAAATAGAGACAGTATGATCAGCGACAGGGTATGTAACTAGAGGCAGTATGATCAGAGACAGGGTTTGTAACTAGAAACAGCATAATAAGAGATGAGATATGAAACTAGAGACAGTATGATACGAGACCGGGTATGTAAATAGAGACAGTATGATCAGAGACGGGGTATGTAACTAGAGACAGTATGATAAGAGGCGGGGTATGTAATTAGAGACGGTATGATAAGAGGTGGGGTATGTAAATAGAGACCTAATTCTAGTGATTAAAGAAAGGGTAAGCAACTAGAGACAGTAAGATACGAGACAGGATATGTATCTAGAGACAGTATGATAAGAAACGGGATATGTAACTAGAGATAGTATGATAAGACACGGGGTATGTACATAGAGACAGTATGATCAGAGACGGGGTATGTAACTAGAGACAGTATGATAAGAGATGGGATATGTAAATAGAGACAGTATGATAAGAGACGGGGTATGTAACTAGATACAGTAAGATAAGAGATGGGGCATGAAACTAGAGACAGCATAATAAGAGACAGGGTATGTAAATAGAGACGGTATGAAAAGAGGCGTGTTATGTAACTAGAGATGATATATTAAGAGACGGGTTATGTAAATAGAGATGGTTTGATTAAAGAAAGGATATGCAACTATAGACAGTAAGATAAGAGACAGGATATGTAACTAAAGATAAGATATGGGGCATGAAACTAGAGACAGCATAATAAGAGACGGGGTATGTAAATAGAGACGTATGAAAAGAGGCATGGTATGTAACTAGAGACGATATGATAAGAGACGGGTTATGTAAATAGAGACAGTATGATAAGAGATGGGATATGTAAATATACAGTATGATAAGAGACGGGGTATGTAACTAGATACAGTAAGATAAGATATGGGGCATGAAACTAGAGACAGCATAATAAGAGACGGGGTATGTAAATAGAGACGTATGAAAAGAGGCATGGTATGTAACTAGAGACGATATGATAAGAGACGGGTTATGTAAATAGAGACAGTATGATAAGAGATGGGATATGTAAATATACAGTATGATAAGAGACGGGGTATGTAACTAGATACAGTAAGATAAGATATGGGGCATGAAACTAGAGACAGCATAATAAGAGACGGGGTATGTAAATAGAGACGTATGAAAAGAGGCATGGTATGTAACTAGAGACGATATGATAAGAGACGGGTTATGTAAATAGAGTGGGTTGATTAAAGAAAGGATATGCGACTATAGACAGTAAGATAAGAGACAGGATATGTAACTAGAGACAGTATGATAAGAGACAGGATATATAACTAGAGACAGCATAACAAGAGACGGGGTATGTAACTAGTTATAGTGTTATAAGAGACGGGATATGTAACTAGAGACAGTATGATCAGAGACGGGGAATGTAAATAGAGACAGTTGATTAAAGAATGGGTAAGCAACTAGAGACAGAAAGATAAGAGACAGGATATGTAACTAGCGACAGTATGATAAGAGACGGGATATGTAGCTTGATATTGTGTGATAAGAGATGGAGTGTGTAACTAGAGACAGTATGATCAGAGATGGGGTATGTAAATAGAGACGGTATGATTAAAGAAAGGGTATGCAACTAGAGACAGTATGATAAGAGACGTGATATGTAACTAGATACTGTATGATAAGAGATGGGGTATGCAAATAGAGGCAATAGGATAAGAAACGGGTTATGTAACTAGATACAGTATGATAAGAGATGGGGTATGTAACTAGAGACAGTGTGATAATAGACGGGATATGTAACTAGAGACAATATGATCAGAGACGGGGAATGTAACTAGCGACAGTATGATAAGAGACGGGATATGTAGTTAGATATTGTGTGATAAGAGATGGAGTGTGTAACTAGAGACAGTATGATCAGAGATGGGGTATGTAAATAGAGACGGTATGATTAAAGAAAGGGTATGCAACTAGAGACAGTATGATAAGAGACGTGATATGTAACTAGATACAGTATGATAAGAGATGGGGTATGCAAATAGAGGCAATAGGATAAGAAACGGGTTATGTAACTAGATACAGTATGATAAGAGATGGGGTATGTAACTAGAGACAGTGTGATAATAGACGGGATATGCAACTAGAGACAGTATGATAAGAGACAGGATATGTAACTAGATACAGTATGATAAGAGATGGGGTATGCAAATAGAGGCAATAGGATAAGAAACGGGTTATGTAACTAGATACAGTATGATAAGAGATGGGGTATGTAACTAGATACAGTATGATAAGAGATGGGGTATGTAAATAGAGACAGTATGATCAGAGACGGAGTATGTAACTAGAGACAGTATGATAAGAGACGGAGTATGTAACTAGAGACAGTATGATCAGAGACGGGGTATGTAAATAGAGACGGTATGAAAAGAGGCGGGGCATGTAACTAGAGACAGTATGATAAGAGACAAGGTATGTAAATTTATTTTATTTTATCTATTTAGAAAATATTTTACCATTAAAGATACATTGAGATTTCTCTCGTTTTCAAGTATGTCCTGGGTCCACAAATCATTGCATTGTTACAATAAAATACAAAAAACAATATCAATACACAATAAATACAAAATTTAACATAGAACAGGCAGGAAATATATAATTAACCATGACAGGTGTATTCTGTTTGAGGTATGTAGAGAGAGATCTCTTAAAGAACTTTAGGCTTAGTGAAGATTTTAAATTGTGCGGGAGATCTTTTAGCATGTCACCATTGTGAAGGACCTAGTTATTTTAACCTTTGGAGTGGATTTAATAGCCTTTATTTTGCACACGCATTACACTAAACATTGATCACTGAAAGTGTTTGGGAGAACACTGGCCTCCTTGATTCTATCAGGAGAAGTGGAGAGAATCCGATCTAGTAGGGTATGGTTATGGCTTTTAATGTTTATGCAAGTTGGGGAGGAGATTAATTGCCGTAACGACTACCCAGGTAGTAAGAGGGTATCAGCCGTTGGAGACGTCCATTTCCTGGCAAGCTGCTGTGTAGTAATGAAGTTACTTATTCCCATCCACGAGATCCAAGAGTAGAGTCATGCATAGCTGTTAAAAGGAGCAAGGTAATTATGCAGTAAATCCCCTTCCAAAAACGAGACGAGGCTACGTTTTGAAGGGTCAAGCAGAAGGATTCTCCTTTTATGCAATGCTGCCCATGAAAGGGAGACACCTACATAATTAGTACAGTAACCAATAACAGACATGGTACAGACATGGTACAGCCCACACATCTCCTCTCCTCAGATAAACAGTTAACATAATTAACACACACACATTTTTACCCTAGTTTTGGATGTACCCCAGATAGCCCTCATCTGGGGGAACAACATATTAAAAAATCGTCCCATTCGGTTTAGGCGTTCGGGAGTTATGGGACTTTAAAGTTTTGACCGACCGCATAGGCACACTAGCCGAAAATAGTTCCATATAATAGTCCTCGTTCATGGGGTGAAAAGGCACGAAAATCTTGCCATCCATGCGTATCTTGCTGGTCGCTGGAATCCCTGTATGTAGTATATCCCATCTACTGAAGGAAGGGCGTTCGGTAGTTTCAGCACGAATTTATGGTATTATGGAGGTTTCAGCGGTGTTCGCCTACTCGAGTGTCCGATTTTAGTTCCAGACACTCGACGGCAAATCACCGCTGTTTGTGCACTAAGTTGGCCGCGAACACATGTTTAAATGTCCCAAAATGGCGGCCACCTAGGATCTGAAACAAAGGATTTCTCATACGGATTGTATTTGCCGGTCTGGGAGGTAAAGTACCACATAATTGAATAGCACGGTGGTCCGGTGTTCGGTAGTTTGTATTCGTATTTGTGACGAAATGCCTTTTGTCCCTGGATTGTTAGGTGACAAGCTGCCCTTTGCCCCCGGTTTTTGGAGGAACCTGTTTGCCAGCCTCCTTCCTCATGACTATGGCCCTGGGGTGTATTGCCATTTAAAAAGACTATTTGGGGCTTATTGGCTTCTAAAGACAGTTTCTTCCCATTTGAATCCATGGGAAGGTGTGTTTCTTCCCCTCCCCCGTTTCCTGTCTATTGTTCTCCAGCAGGGCGTTGTCCCAGGCACACTGCCAAACCAGTTGGAACTGACTGCTTTTGTCCCTCCTTGGTTTCTCAACAGCCCTTGCTATGCTTTACCCCATGGAAAATCTACTCTGTTCATGGGATCTGAGCGCTGTTCACCTAGATTGGGCGCTCAGATCCGAGCTATCTGGGGATAGGTTAAATGTGGGGGTTCTGTGTAATAAAATAAGAATTATGTATTTTTATGTACTTTTACGTATTTTGCTGTTAGTGTTAAATGTAGATATTTTCTGTACCTGGAGATAATTGAGTTTACTGCAGTGCCTTAAGCCAATTATCTCCAGGATGGAGAGGAGGGATTTAATTGTGTATGTGAGAGTGTTATCATGTTAATTAGTGTTCCCATTGGTTTGTGTCCCTTTTGTCACAGTTTACCACCATGTCCAGGGGGTGTGCCTCTGACCTGAAAACTTGTATATAAGGAGTAATAAACGCTCATTGGAGTCAGATCATCTTGTACCTTCATGAAGTTTCGGCTCATGTTTGGGGGATTGGAGAAACTACACTCTGGGGATTGCTATAATCACTATACTCCCCAGGGTATAATCACTAAGCTCTGCTAAGAGCTTGTTCCTGTTCCTGCTCTCTGGAATTCGGAGAGAGGTCGACCTGCTGGAAGCTGGACCTTGGTCCTGGGTCCAGAGTGGGTGGAGACGGCGAGATCCCAACCAAGCTGCGGCAGTTCGTGGGGTCTGCAGTGGTTATGGTGTCAGGCAGAGTGCTTGGAGTCCTCGAAAAGCACTAGGAGCATCCGTCGGCGGAAGGTACCCGGTCTGGGTGCCAGCGGTTCCGTCACAGTATTTATGCCTGCTGAGTCCCTACCGTATGGGTCGTATAAATAGACGAATACTGGCAAAAGTCCCGAACTGTGTTAACATAATCCACATGAACCAGGTAAGCATATTCCATTGTATCCACAGTCTCGGTTAGTGATAAATATTTCCAGGCAAAAGGTAAAGTTCTGTTACATTTGCGTTAGCTGCAAAGTCTTAAACAGCGTGCAAGAACTATTAATTTTAGGATTCAGCCAATCAATATTAAAATCTCCAAAGACCAACAGTTCACTTTTAGGGTTTTGAGCTATGGTTTCACTAAGGAGATGGGCTATGTCAGAAAGGGAATGCACAGGGGAGTTAGGTGGGCTGTAGATTCCTGCAACAATGATTGATTTACTGCGCGGGATCTCAATTGTGCCAGAAAGGAAATCAAAGGTGGCAGGTGGACTAAGGTTTTGTAAAGGGGTAAACTTTATGGAATTGTCAACATAAATAACAATGCCTCCTCCTCTCTTTGCTCTGTCATTTCTAAAACATGAATAACCCTGTATTGCAATGGTGGTGTCTGGTATTTTAGTCGTTAACCATGATTCGGGGAGCACAATGATTTTTGGTTTGTAATGGGAACACCAGGCTTGCAGTGCATCCAGTTTAGGGAGTAAACTACAGATGTTGCAGTGCACAAAAGAGAGGCCTTTTTTAGTGGGGAGGTTAGGACTAGAATTAGCTGGGGGCTCAGGGTTAGACTCCACATCATTTGCGAGGGCAAGTAACATAAGGAATATGAATTTAGACATAATTTTTGTTTGGCCATATAGTGAATGGGATACTTTATAATTTTGTGAGGTGGGGGTAGGAGCTCTCCACCAGCACTCAGCAGATAAGTTACAGGAACAGAGCAGGCCATGGTGTATGATAATTTGTGTTCCAGTTTGAGGTGTGTGATTATGGTGGTAGTGATGTGAACAAAATTGGAGTGAGAAAAGGGTTATTAAGAATAACAGTATGGTTATATTTGGATTCATGTTAGTGGTATGAGGTGTGTAGTTGAAAATGAAACAGAAATTGCAAAAAACAAACATTAAATAAAAATATATAGTATTGGAGTGTGATATATCTATTTGTAGGGAGAGAGGGTATGTGTGCTATAGGGTTAAGAGATTGGAAAGGTGTGCTGATCAGTGTTTGCACCTGTCATTTCAGGAGATTGAAAGTTGTGTGGGAGACTATCTATAAATGAGGAAATAAGCATGGGGTGGGTGGGAAATCAGTCTTCCAGAAGGCTACCTGTTTCAAATGGCCATGGAACAGCTGATGGAGCTCTGAGTTCTATGCGGGACTGGGTATGTTTAAAAATCAGACTGTTTCAAATGGCCATGGAACAGCTGATGGAGCTCTGAGTTCTATGATGGACTGGGTATGTTTAAAAATCAGACTGTTTCAAATGGCCATGGAACAGCTGATGGTATGATTAAAGAAATGGTATGCAACTAGAGACAGTAATATAAGAGACAGGATATGTAACTAGATATAGTATGATAAGAGATGGGGTATGTAAATAGAGACAGTATGATCAGAGACGGGGTATGTAAATAGAGACAGTATGATCAGAGACGGGGTATGTAACTAGAAACAGCATAATAAGAGATGAGGTATGAAACTAGAGACAGTATGATAAGAGTCAGGGTATGTAAATAGAGACAGTATGATCAGAGACGGGGTATGTAACTAGAGACAGTATGATAAGAGTCAGGGTATGTAAATAGAGACAGTATGATCAGAGATGAGGTACATAACTAGAGACAGTATGATAAGAGATGAGCTATGTAAATAGAGACAGTATGATAAGAGATGGGGTATGTAACTGGAGACAGTATGATAAGAGAAAGAGGTATGTATATAGAGACAGTATGATCAGAGATGGGTTTGCATCTAGAGACAGTATGATGAGAGACGGGTATGCAACTAGAGACAGTATGATAAGAGATGGGATATGTAACAAGATACAGTATGATAAGAGACAAGGTATGTAAATAGATACAGTATGATAAGAGACGGGATATGTAACTAGAGACCGTATGATAATAATCGGGATATGTAACTAGAGACTGTATGATAAGAGATGGGGTATATAACTAGAGACAGTATGATAAGAGAAAGGGTATGTAACTATAGGCAGCCTGACAGGAGACTGGGTATGTAACTAGAGACAGTATGATAAACAATGGGATATGTAACTAGAGACAGTATGATAAGCAATGGGATATGTAACTAAAGACAGTATGATAAGCAATGGGATATGTAACTAGAGACAGTATTATAAGAGATGGGGTATGTAACTAGAGACAGTATGATAAGTAGACATGTGCAATTCGTTTCGTACATTCGGACGAATTTCGTGCAATTTGGACATTCGAATGCCTTTGAACGTCTGAAGTGCCGAGTTTCCAAAGTGCCGAAGTTCGGTAGTTCGGAAGTGCCGAACCGAATTGCGAATTGCCGAGGTGCCAAAGAGCTTAGGATTTGTGAAAAGTGGCAAAACAAGAAAGGGAGGAAAAATTACGTGAATGATGACAGGAATCTTGACTAATTCCTGACACTGGGAGCCCTATACATGTGTAAGTGGTTGTGGTGGGTTAGAGAGCCCTACAGATGTGTAAGTGGTTGTGGTGGCAGTCTGAAAGCCCTTTAGATGTGTAAGTGGTTGTGGTGTTAGGGAGTCCTACAGATGTGTAAGTGGTTGTGGTGGAAAAGTGCTTCAGATTTCTGAAAAGTGGCAAAACAAGAGAGAGATTCTTACGAATGTCCAAATTGCCGAAGTTTCGATTTGCTGAAGTTCCGAAGTGCCGAATTTCCGAAGTGCCGAACTGAACAGAATGCCATTGGTCCAAATTGCTGAAGCAGACACATTTTATGACTTTATGATTTATGATTTATGGCTGCCATGAAATTTCTTGGATAATTTCGAGAACAAGGTGATTAGTCCAGGAACAGACATTGTAAAATAAAGGATGAACTCCAAAGGTAACAATGGGGTCAGGATCAGGAAGCAAGAGAAATGTTAGAGACAAGACAGGAACAAAATTCACCACTGTATGCTGATTTATTGGAGGCATTCAGGGCTCTATAACATGTGAGTGTATAAACTATATACTTACATTATGATTCAAAAGCTGCCTTACGTACTATACCATATTTTGTTCATGTTCTCTGCTCTATGTTTCATGTCTTGGTGAGAACAATTATACAAAACAAAAAGATATCTCACATATCCTTAGATTGGGATTGTTACACCCAGGCCCATTATCTCTATATATATCTAATGTAAGTGGCTCTTAACACTTATTCCTGTCCTGAAATAGCGTTATCCTCCACCATTGGATTTTTTTTATCTTACATATATATCCATGGAAACGCCACCATCCACCGACTGTGAATAATGACCATTTCTCTAAATAGGAGGAAAGACCAGTCGCAGGATTGTTACTGCTACACACCAACAGAACTGTTTTAGAGCTTGATCTTCTATTTGTATTACTGTGTAAAGGTCGGACACTGGAGTTGACATGCTAATGTTATGGAAAGCAAATCAATGGCAGTAACTATGGAAAGGAACATTTTAGTGTAACCTGGAAATCACAGGAAACATTACAAGGAAAGAAATAGGAAAATGGGCAGAATATGGTAAAATACATTACCGTTACTCAATAGCATAGTACCGTCCTAGGACTAATAATAAAAGATATGGTTAGCAGAGGGGGCAGTGAGGTTGTAGAGATATTATAATGAATAGAGGAAGAAATAACAGATTTAGAATGACCAGCCATATTCTAGTCTGGGCGTGCTTTAAGTGTAATCCATCAACCACAGATACACGTGGAGGAGAATCCCGCACTCAGAGATACCTTATAGCAGTAATTAATGATTAAACAATTAAACAGAACCACTACCTCTAATGACATAGCTGGACATTTATTGTCAGATTTCTAAGTGTTATTTCTCTTTCAGTGGATTCACCTTGTGAGAGATTGATGGTAGTTATCACAGCTCTCATTATGGCTTGTTTCTTCTTACTGATTGTCACAATAAGGCTGGGAGGCCACATCATGTACAGTAAGTACACATCACTCACACAGGATATACAGTAAGTACAGTAAGTACCAGGGCCGGACTGGCCCACCGGGATACCGGGAAATTTCCTGGTGGGCCTTTGGCACCTGGGGTCGGGCAGGCAGCTGACTGTTCTGGCGGCCGGAGGAGGAGCTGGCTGTTCTGGTGGCAGCAGGGGGGAGCTGGCTGTTCTGGTGGCCGTAGGGGGAGCTGGTTGTTCTGGCGCCTGCAGGGGGAGCTGGCTGTTTTGGCAGCCACTGGGGGAGCTGGGTGTTCTGGCGGCCGCAGGGGTAGCTGGCTGTTCTGTCTCTGCTCCCCCGCCCCAGCACGCTACAAAGAGACCGGGGCCGGAATATGATGTCATATTCCGGCCCCGGTCTCATTAAGTGGCGCGCTAGGGTAGCAGAGACAGAACAGCCAGCTCCCCCTGCGGCTGCCAAAAGAGCTCCCTCTGCAGCCGCCAGAAGAGCCAGCTCCCCCCATGCGGCTGCCATCAGAGCTCCCCATTCGGCCGCCAGCACACAGGTAGCAATTATGTGTGTCAGTGTGAGTGTATGTCTGTGTCATTTGTGTGTGTCTGTCTGTGTCATGGTGTGTGTGTCTCTGTCTGTGTCATGGTGTGTGTATGTGTGTGTGTCTGTCTGTGTTATGCAATGTGTGTGTCATTGTGTGTGTCTGTCTGTGTCATGGTGTGTGTCTCTGTCATGGTGTGTGCATCTGTGTCATGGTGTGTGTGTGTGTGTGTGTGTGTCTCTGTCCATGTCATGGTGTGTGTGTGTGTCTGTCTGTGTCATGCAATGTGTGTCTGTGTCATGGTGTGTGTGTGTGTGTGTCTCTGTCTGTCATGGTGTGTGCGTCTGTCTGTGTCATGCAATGTGTGTCTGTGTCCTTGTGTGTGTGTGTCATGTAATGTGTGTCTCTCTGTGTCACGGTCTGTTTGTGTCATGGTGTGTGTGTCTGTATGTCATGTCTGTGTCATGTAATGTGTGTCTGTGTCACAGTGTGTGTGTGTCTTTGTCACAGTCTCTCTGTGTCGTGGTGTGTGTGTCTGTATGTCATGGTGTGTGTGTCTGTCTGTGTCATGTAATGTGTGTCTGTGTCACGGTCTGTCTGTGTTATGGTGTGTGTGTCTTTTTTAAGGTGTGTGTCTGTCATGGTATGTGTGTGTGTCTGTCTGTGTCATGGTGTGTCTGTCTGTCATGGTGTTTGTGTTTCTGTCTGTGTCACGGTATGTGTGTGTCATGGTATGTCTCTATGTGTGTTTTTACTCACCTTTTTTTCCCCCACGTCGTGCTGGTCTTCCCTCGACTGACCCTGCCTCTATGTTTGAGATCATCAAGCTTGATGATCTCAGCCAATCTGACACAGGAAGCACCTCTAGTGACCGTCTGAGTGTCTGTCACTAGGAAGCAATGTAAACACTGCCTTTTCTCTAAAAAGTCAGTGTTTACATTGAAAAGCCTGCAGGGACAGGCTATAGATACCAGAGCCACTACATTGAGCTGTGTGTGTGTGCGCGCCTGCTAGTGAGTGGGCTTGCCTGATGGTGAGTGGACTTTGTACTCTATTTATAATGAGATTGTTCTCAGACTTTTTTTTGTTTTGTTTTTATGAAATGTTTGCGTCATCCCTATTTAACTGACCTTTTTTTTTGGGGGGGGGGGGGTTTGTGTGTGTGTGTGCCTGCTACTGAGTGAGCATGTGTTTTTATGTCAATGACCTTATGTATATCAGTGAGATTGTTTGTCTATGAGGCTGTGTATCAATCAGCTTGTGTCAGTGAGATTGTCTGTGTCTGCATGTGAGTACTCTGAAAGAACCAATATTTTATATTGGAAAAAGCAATATATATATCTCAATCATCTAGGGTGGCAAGACATAGCCTTACATATTACATGCAACAATATATGGCGCAATGACTTTAGGGGGCTGGCATAGATTTTTTTTCCAGGGCTGCTTTGGAATCTCCGGTCCGGCCCTGGTAAGTACACAGCGCTTCCACTGTAATTACAGTAAGTACACATCACTCACACAGTAAGTACAGTAAGTACACAGCGCTTCCACGGTAATTACAGTACACAACACTCACAAAGGATGTATAGTAAGTACACCGTGCTCACATAGTACATTACGTACACATTAGTCACACATTAAGTACAGTAAGTACACAGTAAGTACACAGTGCTCACACATTAAGTACACATCACTCAGACAGGATGTAGAGTAAGTATACAGTGCTCACACAGTAAGTAGAGTAAGAACACAACGTTCACGCAGTAAGTTCAGTAAGCACACATTACTCACACAGTGAGTACAGTGTAGCGGATGGCATTAGACTGTCCTCAAGGGTTAGGTTAAAAAGGCAATTCGTGTGTTTTATTTCCCTGTATAATTAACAATGTATGTATTATTCGTATGTTTGTTCGGTAGTTTTCATCCGTATCCCATACGAATGAAAACTACCGAACCAGTAGACCACCCCAGAGAGAAGTGTGTACCTTATTAGGCTTTCACACTTCTCTAACCACAAAGCAATCGGTACTTTATTGCTGTATCTGGGTGGCCACCATTCGGCATACGAACACGTGGCGGCGGCCATCTTACGCACGAAACCTCAGAGTTGTTTGGTCGTCGAGTGTACTCAAGTGGAACTCAAATCGGACACTCGATTACCCGAACACCGCTGAGTCCTCCAGAGCTCCGTAACTCCCGAACGGAGGGGCCAACCAGCCCCTCGTTCGGTGAAGTTAACATACCGAACAAGGGGATTGATACGAACACCGTTTTAATAGTGGATGGCAAAGATTTATACATGTTTTATCTCCCAAACGGAGACTGACCGCAGGGCCAAAACACATGGAGCCCTTTTCGGCTACCACCTCGTGTGTGGTCGGTCAAATTGTTCTTTCCCCATAACTCCCGAACTCCTGGTCCGATCTGGGTGAATTTTGAATATGTTAGTCACCCAGATCAGGGCTACCAGAGGGTGCCACTTAGATAATTGTACCCCACAGTTTTGGGGTACATCCAGAAACCAGGTAAAACTGTAACAGAGATAAGTGGATTATGTGTCACACTGAGGGGAGGAGATGTATGGGAGGTAACTACTGTACTATTGGCTACTGTCCCAATTATTGTAAATCCCTTGCATGGGAGAAGCCTTTATAAGGAATCTGTGTGATTAAAAGTTCAGTTCTGCTCCTGATGCTGTGTGTCATCCAGTCATTGGGATTGAGGTTGGGATATTGTTGGAGTATTTTGCCTGCCGGTAATATTACCTTTTGGATTTATAATACTTGTTCCTGAGCCTTACTGGGATCTAAGGTGGAGATAACCTGTGTAATAGCAGCTCTCCGCTACATTGGGGGCAGCGGTGGGATCCAGACTCACAAAGGAACAAGGACTGATGGAATACGGATGGAGAGTGATTATTCTAAGCTAAAAAGAGCCACACTAAAAGACCTACTAGAAGCAAGAGGTATTGCAGCAAGCAACAAAAGCAACACTCATTGCAGAGGTTATGGCAGAATACCAAACCGAGGGCAGTGCTATCCCTGAACAACTTCAGAGGCAGCTACAATTTAGGCTGGCCTTCTATGGAGAAAATCCAATGGTTGACATTATCTCCAGGACAATGACTGAAGTGCAGGAATTTATAATACGCCAAAGACCACCACAGACCACAGCGAGAAACACAGCAACCACTACCAACACAGAGGGTAAGACAAAAATACCTTACCAAGCTTTTAAAACTTATGTGGAGGCAGAGGAGGACATAGACGCATTCCTCCAAGACTTTGAGAGACTTTGTGCACTGCATAAGATTGGTCTAGAAGAGTGGGTACCCATTTTAGCAGGTTGGCTAACTGGAAGGGCAGCTGAGACATACAGAACGGTACCAGACGAGGAAATTCGGAACTACCACAGGGTAAAAGAGGTTATTCTGGCCCGATATGCCATCACACCAGAGTCATACTGGAGGCGATTCAGAGAGTTGAAAAGGAATGAAAAGGACTCACATGTTGAATGGGCTCGCAGGCTGCACAGGGCCGCCCTCGGAGGGGTACAGGCAAACAAGGCTCGGTCCATGGAGGACTTATTACAGATGTTGCTATTAGAACAATTTTATGATGGGATCCAGACAGATGTACAAGAATGGGTGAGGGACCGCAATCCAACCTCCCTCACAGAGGCGGCTAAGAAAGCAGACGAATACCCGCCCCCATCAAGACCAACTAAGAGACCGCGCTACCTGGATCCGTCCAGGCCCTCCTTCACCACCTCGAGCAGCAGCCCACTGCTACCGACCTGAGACACCAACTCCATATGGCTCGGCAATCCCCATCACTACTGTGGAACAATGGGAAGTGTTACAGGAAGCGGATCCCATACAAGCGAATGCAGACAACCGTCAACATCATCGACAAACTGTCTACCTGGAGGGGAAAGCGGTACAAGGGGTCCGCGACTCTGGGGCCACCATAACTCTGGTCAAAAGTCACCTTGTATCCGATCAAGCCAAGACCAGCCGAACTGTAGCAGTCAGGGTAGCCGGGGGAGCAGCATACCGGCTACCCACAACTCGGGTACATTTGCATTGGGGAGCGGGGTTTGGTAATGTGGAAGTGGGGTTAATGCCACAATTGCCTGTGGAGGTTTTGCTGGGGAATGATCTGGGCAAACTCACTTCTGCTTTTGAGCCTTAGGCACCAGCAACCGGAGAAGTACACCCAGTGGTCACTCAACAACAGGCTCGCACCCAGGACTACAACACACTCCCGGAGGTCCAGGTAAGAGATCCTTCCCATTCCTTAGAATGTATCCCCTGGGCTCCCCCTACTGGATTTGCGGCTGAGGTTATCACAGACCCCACATTACAGGTCTATAGAGACAAGGTCACCTCAGACCAACCTGGGGGGGAGGGCGAAAGATTTGTATGGTATAGACAGCTGCTGTATAAGGAGTCTGACAAGCAGGTAGCTGGGTCATACCTGATAGTCATGAGGCATCTAGTAGTACCACCACGGTACCGATCTGAATTACTCCGGATAGCGCACGATATTCCACTATCCGGACATTTGGGGGTCAGTCGCACCCGGCACCGACTGACCCAAAGTTTATTTTGGCCAGGAGTTAGCCAGGAAGTTCGTAGGTACTGCAGTACTTGTGACACGTGCCAACAGGTAGGGAAAAGAGGGGACCGGCAGAAGGCAAAACTGCATCCGCTACCTATAATTGAGGAGCCGTTCAGTAGGGTAGCTGTAGATTTAATAGGCCACCTTCAGAGAACCAGCCCTTCTGGTAAAAAGTATATTTTAACGTAGTAGACTATATCACCCGATATCCAGTGGCAGTGGCTTTGACTAACATCCATGCAGAAACCGTGGCTGAGGCCCTGATGCAGATTTTCTCCCGGATGGGGTTACCCAGGGAGATCATATCGGATCAGGGCACCCAGTTCACTGCGGAAGTTACCCAGCACCTCTGGAAATTCTGTGACATCAAGCCTATAATCAGTGCTCCATACCATCCCCAGACCAATGGGCTATGTGAGCGGTTCAATGGAACATTGAAACAAATGCTCCGAACCTTTGCAGACACCCATAGGGACTGGGAGCGATTCATGCCCCATCTCCTATTCGCTTACCGGGAGGTGCCGCAAGAATCGACCGGGTTTTCCCCATTTGAATTATTATTCGAGAGGAGGGTAAAAGGACCCCTTGACCTGATTAGGGAGCACTGGGAGGGAGAACGGAGCGCAGACGGTACCCCATCATACCATATGTGCTGGCATTCTGAGATCGACTGGAGGCATTGACTAAGTCTGTAAGGGAGAACCTACAGGCCACTCAGACTCGCCAGCGCACATGGTATGATCGGGGCGTCAGGGACCGTAGCTTCCAGGTTGGGCAGAAGGTTTTAATTTTAAAACCTGTCCGACATGATAAGCTACAGGCCGCCTGGCAGGGCCCTTAAAAAGTGGTGGAACAAAGATGTGACACCACCTATATAATTGGCCCCTGCGCCGGAACTGGAGGGCGACGCATGATCAACGTGAACATGATGAAGCCCTACCAGGAACGGTCAGAGGAGGTAACAGCCATTTGTGCCCCCTCCTCTGAGGAGTTTGACAATCTTCCCCTCCCAGATCTGCTGGGGGACGGTTGGCTGTCCGGGGATCTAGGGGAGGTTACGTTACGCTGGGAGATCGGTTGAGCCCACAGGAGTGTACCGAGGTGCAACAGTTACTAAAGGAGAAACAAGATACCTTCTCCAATATACCTGGGTACACCCCTCTGGCCACTCACCAGGGCAGCTTCCCATGCGCCAGACACCTTACCGCAATCCCTGAAGCAGGGAACATGCACAAGGAGATTGAGGAGATGCTCCAACTGGGGGTGATTGAGCAGTCAGATAGCCCCTGGGCCTCCCCAGTAGTCCCCGTACCTAAGCGGGATGGCACAACCCGCTTCTGCGTAGATTACCGGAGGATAAACGAAAAGACAGTATCTGACGCATACCCGATGCCCCAGATAGATGAACTGTTAGACCGGATGGCCAGGGGCCAATACCTCATGGCCATTGATCTTTGTAAGGGGTATTGGCAGATTCCCCTGGCCCCGGACACAATCCCTAAGTCCGCCTTTGTCACCCCATTTGGCTTGTACCAATTTAAGGTAATGCCGTTTGGGATGAAAAACGCACCGGCTACCTTCCAGAGGATGGTGGACCGACTCCTAGATGGGTTTTGTTAAGACACCTCCAGTGTCTTTAGGCCAAACCGCCGTTTAGTAAACCTTCCCCGGCTGCAGTACAGTCTCCGTTCGCTTACTCTGTAACCCACGAACCAAATGCAGGGGAAGCGGCAATCTCCCGATCGAAATCAACGAACGGCTCCAAACTCCTGAACGGCAATATACGAACTGCTGGTAACCGTCGAACAGTAATATTCCCAAATCGGCTTTCGTTCCATCCAGCAGTCTCTAAACGTGAAGAAGAAATCCCCCCAATAACGAGACAGAAGCTCCGCATTGAGGGTCAAACAGAATCTGGTTTTACTGTGGGCTACCTGCCCGTATTTATGCAGGTCTCCCACCTGGTGGACACTCCCCTAGGGGACCAAATGGGAGACTTAAACTACAGACAGATAGAAGGACATTTCAGACACACAGTCACATATTTTACCCACAGTGCATTATGATTCCCTCCCCTCTGCCCTGGAGTTAATTACCAAGTAACTCAATTAACTCCAGGACAAGGACAGTCGCCATCTTAGACATAAAATAATAAAAGACATAAAAATACATAACTACATGAAAACTGAACATTTCCCGTTAGTATTACATGTCCCCAGATAGCCTGGATCTGAGTGCATATTATTAGCGAATAGCGCTCAGATCCCACACACATAGTTCAATCGCCATGGAGTCAAAGTTCTTACAGTCTTTCGGTATACGAATGACTCCATGGGAAGGCTATCTGGGTTCAGTCTTTTGTATGCTCTCAATCTCCCGAACGGCCGGTGTTCGCATGCTTCCGTGGAGGCAGCCAGGCGTTCCCTTGTTTCAGCGGTGTTCGGCAGAAAAAGTGTCCATTTCAGTTCCATAGAAATAGAGCCAAACACCGCTGGGCGTTCGCGTGATTTAAAATGGCCGCGGCCTCGTGGTCGACATACGAACGACGACCACCCTGAGTTCGGTTTAATTGAGAAGTGTCTGCGGTTAACCACAACGTTCTAATTGGGATCACTTTGTTAACCAGCAGCACACTCCTCACTTGCGTGGCCGTTCGTTCGGCAGATTTGTTCGGGAAAAAGAGTCATTCGAATGGCTGGGCTATAGAAACCAGCCATTCATACGAACGGGGGACAAACAGACGAACGGGGTAAAAATCCAGCAGACAGATGGTTCTGTCACAGGTTTCAAGATTACACCTGTGCCTATTTAGATGACATTGCTATCTTTAGCAATACCTGGCAGGAACATCTGACCCACGTAGGAGCAGTGTTAGATAGAATCCGGGAAGCCGGATTAACCTTGAAACCTGCTAAATGCTGTATAGGTATGGCGGAGGTACAGTACCTCGGACACCGAGTAGGGTGAGGGAAGCGGAAGCCTGAACCCGCAAAGGTAGAGGCCGTAGCACAATGGCCGACCCCCAGGACAAAGACCCAGGTACTTGCTTTTCTAGAGACCGCAGGGTATTACAGGAAATTTGTGCCCAACTATAGTGCCCTGGCCAAACCCCTTACTGACCTTACCCACAAAAACCTTCCCCGCCAAGTAACTTGGACCCCGGAGTGTGAGCAGGCATTCCAACTTTTGAAAAATGCACTTATCAATGCCCCTGTCTTGGCCGCTCCCAATCCGACTAAACGTTTCCTTGTTCACACAGACGCTTCTATGTTTGGATTGGGGGCAGTATTAAGTCAAGTCGGGGCCGATGGCGGAGAACATCCCGTAGCCTACATCAGCCGGAAGCTATTACCTAGAGAAGCTACGCCGCCATTGAGAAGGAGTGCCTGGCTGTGGTGTGGGTCTTAAAGAAATTGCAACCCTATTTATATGGACAGTCCTTTTCCCTGCTCACGGATCACAACCCGTTGGTATGGTTAAACCGGGTGGCGGGGGACAATGCCCGGCTGCTGCGGTGGAGTTTGGCGCTGCAGCCATTTGACTTTAACATCCAGTACCGCCCGGGAAAACAGAATGGCAACGCTGACGGATTGTCCAGACAATCTGACCTTGAAAAATGATCCGTGAACCGCCCGGACATCCCCAAGCCGATCCGTGTTGGATCAGACTGTGTATGCTGGCTTGTGGGCAAGGGGGAGCAGTGTAGCGGATGGCACTGGACTGTCCTCAAGGGTTAAGTTAAAAAGGCAATTTGTGTGTTTTATTTCCCTGTATAATTAACAATGTATGTATTATTCGTATGTTTGTTCGGTAGTTTTCATCCGTATCCCATACGAATGAAAACTACCGAACCAGTAGACCACCCCAGAGAGAAGTGTGTACCTTATTAGGCTTTCACACTTCTCTAACCACAAATCAATCAGTACTTTATTGCTGTATCTGGGTGGCTGCCGTTCGGCATACGAACACGTGGCGGCGGCCATCTTACGCACGAAACCTCAGCGGTGTTTGGTCTTCGAGTGTCTGGAACTCAAATCGGACACTTGATTACCCGAACACCGCTGAGTCCTCCAGAGCTCCGTAACTCCCGAACGAAGGGGCCAACCAGCCCCTCATTCGGTGAAGTTAACATACCGAACAAGGGGATTCATACGAACACCGTTTTAATAGTGGATGGTAAAGATTTATACATCTAGTCACCCAGATCAGGGCTACCAGAGGGTGCCACTTAGATAATTGTACCCCACAGTTTTGGGGTACATCCAGAAACCGGGAAAAACTATAACAGAGATAAGTGGATTATGTGTCACACTGAGGGGAGGAGATGTATGGGAGGTAACTACTGTACTATTGGCTAATGTCTCAATTATTGTAAATCCCTCCCTTGCATGGGAGAAGCCTTTATAAGGAGGTTGTGTGATTAAAAGTTCAGTTCTGCTCCTGATGCTGTGTGTCGTCCAGTCATTGGGATTGAGGTTGGGATATTGTTGGAGTGTTTTGCCTGCTGGGCATATTACCTTCTGGATTTATACTTGTTCCTGAGCCTTACTGGGATCTAAAGTGGAGATAACCTGTGTAATAGCAGCTCTCCACTACATACAGTAAGTACACATCAATCACACAGTAAGTACAGTAAGTACACAGTGCTCAAACAGTAAGTAGAGTAAAAACACAGCGTTCACACAGTAAGTTCAGTAAGCACACATCAATCACACAGTGAGTAAACAGCGCTCACACAATAAGTACAGTAAGTACACATCACTCACACAGGATGTACAGTAAGTGCAAAATGCCCACACAGTAAGTGCACAGCACTCATACAGTATTTACAGTAAGTACACAGTGCTCACACAGTAAGTACGAAGTGCTTACACAGTAAGTACAGTAAGTACGTAACACTCATTGTCTGCCTCTCCTTACAAAGCTCTAGATGGAATGGTAAATGATAACTTTAATAAACTCATTATTTCTGCCATTTTATTATATCTAAATCCTTTCTAATAAACTGTATGTTTCCAGGAGCCAATGATGCAGAGTGGACAGTCTGTGCAGAAATACAACGTAACATTACATGGCTGGAGGAGAGACTGCGATGTCTGGAAACCACCATAAGTGCAGCAGGTTTGTACATTAGATTTTCGATGGATGATTGGAATATCACAATTTCATGTTATCCCTTTATCACAATACAGACAGGGGGTTTAGATATCCGCACATAGAATACATGGATTTAACCAAGGAATAAACCATTTATACGAGGTATGGGTCGATTTACTTTAAAGAAAACAGTGTGAGGGTTAATTTGGTGACGCCGCTACAGCGCATTGTTTCATCTCCCATAAATTTGGTGGTGGAACTTTATTAAAACCAGCGTGTGTGGTGTACTGCCCGGGGGACAGAAATAAGGCATTGTCCATGTCCGATGGGGTTTAAAGATCTTCCATATCATCTCCGTGTGTCTTAATGCTGTGTTTGTTCCCCTACAGAGCAGAATAAATGCCCATCAGGATGGACTTTCATTTCCGATAAATGCTATTTCTTCTCTGATGATAAAAAACCAAGAGATGAAAGTGATGATTTCTGTGCAAAACATGGAGCAAAACTAGCGACTGTCAAAGGAAATGATCCAGAGTTACAGGTAGAGAGATCACATTTTAAGTATTATTTCAGTAAATGCATTGTTCTGTTATTAGTGAGTGTAACATTATAATGTGGCTCCCATACTGATTATTGATTACTGATTATTGATTACTGATTATTGATTGGTTACTAACATGACCAAGTCCCTATCAGTCCCCGTCTAAAGAAACACGTGCTAGTTCCTGCAACAAAGTTCACAGTTCACATAAAGGGCACAATTCCTGCTTCTAATGGACAAGAAATCCAAAAGATCAGACCTTCTTACCGGGCCACCAGTGGCCAAAGATTAATATTCCATCCATATTCCATGTGACTTGTCATAGGAGTGATTCGAATTCTGCTTTTATATATCTAAAAATATCGCTAACACTTTCCAGTAGTCTGCAGAGACTTACAGATTGTGTTGCATTAAATTTAATGTTTTTAATGTTAATTATTTTTTTTAATCTCTCTCTAAATGTTTTGCACAATAATTAACTCCTTTTTTTGTTTAATAATTATTGTTTTAGTTCCAGATAAAGCGCTCAGATTCCGTGTTTTGGGTTGGACTGATGCAGCGAAAGGAGGTGCAGAATCAATGTTCCATCACAATGTGGACCTGGTCTGACGGAACCATACAGTACGCTGAATTTAAATTTATCCCGGGAAATGTCTGGACCGTAGGCATTCACAGCCCATTTCATTAGAGTGTGCACCGGGAAATCTTTCTCCTAGTTATGTAATGTGAATATTTTTTTAAATGTTGTGTGGGTATGTAGTGTGAGTGTGTGCCTTGTGTAGGTGTACGGTGGTTGTAAAGGTTGTAGCTGTGTGTGAGGTGTGTGTGTTGTGGCTTTCTGTGTGTGATGCAGAGGGCTGGATGTATGCAATGTGAGTATAGCTGTGAGTGATGTGTGTGGGTAGCTGTGAGCGGGATGTGTAGATGTGCGAGTCGCTGTGAGTAATGTGTGGGAAATAGTGGAATTTCCATTTAGTACAAGATGGGAATGGAGATTAAAGTTAGCTGCCCCTCAGCTCAGTATCACTAGTGGGGAATTCATCATAGTTACATAGGCCGAAAAGAGACTTGCGTCCATCAAGTTCAGCCTTTCTCACAGCTGTTTTTTGCTGTTGACCCAAAATAAGATAAAAGCCCAGTTTGAAGCGCTTCCAATTTTGCAACACACTATTAAAAATTCCTTCTTGACGCCAAAATAGCAGTCAGATTTGTTTCTGGATCAATAAGCTATTACCCAACAAATTAGAAATCATATCCCAGAATATTATGTTTTTATTAAGTATCTATCCATTTGCTGTTTAAACATCTGTATGGACTGTGATAAAACCACTTCTTCAGGTAGAGAATCCTTATTGTTCTTACTGTAAAAAACAAACAAAAACCTTTAATTTGCCTTAGACGAAATCTTCTTTCTTCCAGTCTAAACGCATGGCCTCGTGTCCTATGTAAAGTCCGGTTTGTGAATAGAGTTCCACACAATGGTTTGTATTGGCACTGGATATAACCTTTCTTCATAACTAAAATGCTCCATTCCTTTTATTAATTTTGTAGTCCACCTTTAAACTTTTTCTAGTGCCACAATATCCTTTTTTAGAACAGGCGCCCAAAATTGCACAGCATATTCAAGGTGTGGTCTTACCAGCGATTTATAAATAGGCACATTTATATTTTCACCCCGAGAATTTATGCCCCTATTTATACATGACAAAACCTTACTGGCACATTGTTGCATAGTTTGTCTATAACAATTCCCAAATCCTTCTCTTGTGTTGTTATCCCTAATTCACTACCATTTAGAGTATAAGTTGCTTGTGCATTCTTGACCCCAAAGTGCATAACTTTGCATTTCTCAAGTTAACTTTCATCTGCCCTGGAAAAAAATTCTATATCAGCCCCATAATGCATCGCGCCAGCATAGTGCGCTGATATGGAAGAGGGAAAAAAAGCCTTAAAACTGAGAACTATCACTCAAACGTGAAATAAAGCTTCAAAATAATAGGGCTTCAAAATAAACAAAAGAGTGGATTTGTTGTAAGCAGATGTGCATTTGTATATAATCAATGTTTCAGTCCAACTACCTTGACATAATTAGAACATTTTCTTAATGGGACTGAAATGGTGAATGTATGCTATAGCAAACCAATAAAAAACAAAAATGTTATCTTATTTTATTTTTTTAAAGTAATTAGAGTGTACTCTTCCCTTTGGTTGACAACTGGATACATTTCAGTCAATATGCCAATTTAATTCCCATAGGAAAGCATTGGGGGCTATTGCATATGTGCGGCAAAATACTGCGCTTCACCGCACCAATCAGCATCTCAATGCAGAGTGTGCAGCACTGGACTAGGAAGCAGCTCTAGTGGCCGTCTGAGTGACTGTCACTAGAGATGTGCCAAGGTAGCAATGTAGACACTGTCTTTTCTCTGAAAAAGTAGCATTTACAGTGCTCAGCCTACAGGGACAGGCTATAGACACCAGAATTACTACATTAAACTGTAGTAGTTTGGTGACTAAAGTGTCCCTTTAATACAACGTCTTTTTCTCACGGGCAGACTCTGAGTTACAGGGAGAGCAGGAGACACAAGTGAAGATGCATTTTGTTTGTGTCTTTCTCCCCCATGCCCCTTTCATGTATCTCTTAGCCCCAGCCCCATTGTTTCTTTCTCCCTCAAGCCCCTTTCATGTGTCTCTTAGCCCCAGCCCCATTGTCTCTTTCTCCCTTTCCCTAGCCCTTCTGTGAGTCTCTTTCCCAGGTCCCAGCACCTCTATGTGTATCTTTCCCCACAGCTCCTCTGTGTCTCATTCTCCCTTTTCCAAGTCCCTCTGTGTGTCTCTTGTTCGTCTTCCTCAGCTCCTCTGTGTGTGTCTCCTGTTCCCCTTTTCCAACCCCTCTGTCTCTTTCTCCTCACACACTTCAGTGTGTCTTTTTACTCCTGAGCCCCTCCATGTGACTCACTACCCCACAGCCCTCCATGTGTCTCATTCCACCCTCTCCAGTCTTCCATGTGTCTCAGTAGCCCCAGCATGTGTCCCATTAGCCCAAAGCCCTTTATGTGTCCTATTATACCTCCCTCTGTCCATATAGCCCCCCACGTGTCCCACTAGCCATCCCTCCCAGGACCCATGTGGCACATTAGCCCTCTTCCAGCCCTCCATGTCACTATTCCCCCCCCCAGCCCTCCATGTTATTATTATTATTATTATTATTATTATTATTTTATTATTTATATAGCGCTGTACAATGGGTGGACTAACAGATACATAATTGAGATCAGACCACTGACATACAGGAACAGAGGGGGTTGAGGACCCTGCTCGATGAGCTTACATGCTAGAGGGAGTGGGGTATAGTGACACAAAGGGTTAAAGTAGGGGAATTAAATAGTTTGTTACAGAAGGGTTTATTGAGTGCTTGGTAGGTCATTTTTTACAGTTGCAGGAACGGAATCATGGGGTGGTGGGTGACAAACCTGCTGACAGAGTTCATGTGCCCCTAAACCCTCCTCCCAGCCCTCCATTGTCCCATTAGTCCCTCTCCAGCCCTCCATGTGTCCTTAACCCCCCTTCCCAGCCCTCCATGTATTCTTATATCCCCCTCCAGCCCTCCATGTGTCCCATTAGTTTCCCCCACCCCGGCTCTCCCTTTCTATTATTAGTCCCCAGCTCTCCCTGTGTCCCATTAGTTCCCCCCAGTGCTCCCTGTACCTTGCTGTAGCGTGTCCGAGCAGGCAGACCGCAGTAGAGGAGTTTCTCTTCCCCTGCCCGGTCTGACAGGAAGCAGTCATGTGCTCTCTGTGAGCACTTCCTGTCAGACTGGGTAGGGAAACAGAAACTCCTCTACCGCGGTCTGCCTGCTCGGACACGCTACAGCAAGGTACAGGGAGCACTGGGGGGAAACTAATGGGACACAGTCCTATCAGACTGGGTAGGGGAAGAGAAACTCCTCTACCACATTAAAATGCCTTCTCTGCCCCGCTACATACTGGGACCGGCAGGAGGGGAGCGCATCCCCTCCTGCCGGTCACCCTGTAATTGAGCCGTGCAGCCCTCAGGCTGGTGTGCACTAGGCTGCCGCACACTGGCCCGCTAGTATGCCAGCCCACCGGGAAATTTCCCGGTATCCCAGTGGGCCAGTCTGGCCCTGTCCCCAATCTATCTAAATCCCTCTGCAGCAAAGTAATATCTTTCCTCACATTACTCACAATAGCTCACATTGTATTACTTTACAGAATTTTGTTTCATCTGCAAACAGTGAAGCGGTCCCAGAACAGTACCTTGAAAATTTACCATTCAGGACAACTCACTGTACTTCTTTAAGCCACTGTTTTAACCAAGAACAAGCATTTTCATTCAGACCAATTTATTTATAAGACTAACTTATTGTTTGAAACTGTATCAAACACCTTGGCAAAATCCAAATAGATCACATCCAATGCTATACCCAGATCTATACTTCTACTTATTTCTTAGTTTGACCTGTGCTTCATAAAACCATGCTGATTATTGCTAATAATCACATTCTTCTCAATGAATCGTTAATGTTATCCCTTAATAACCTTTCAAAAACTTTCACAGCCACAGACGTTAAGCTCACTTTAAAACCTTTTTGAATGTAGGAACCATATCTGCCTGTGAGATCGCCTGCACTTACGTTGGCAGTCCGCTGATAAGTTGTTACTCCAATCTGGTGGACAGTTCCTTCTGAGCCTCCTGTCTGTCATGACAGCCTTCTTGATGCCGACCCCTTTTTATGACGCAGTACTCGCAAACCGGCGTCATGATTTCAGAGGGGTTCTACACACTTGAAACCAACATACTCTCACATTTTGGGTTACACCAAACATGCCCCCAAACATATAAAAGTTCATTCAGCCCAATGTACAGTCCCCTGTTGTGGTTCCTAGGTTCCTAGTGTCCTATAGAGCGTTACTTTGTCTGTTTATTGTCCTGTTCGTATTGACCCAGCTTTGTCCTGACTATTCTGTTTCTATGACTCTCTTGACCCAGCTTTGGCTTTAACTCCTATAATATTCTGGCTTCCTTTGACCATGACTTCTTCTGACGTTCCTCTGACGTTCCTATTTACCTCATATTTTACTATTTGTCCGCCAACTCTAAGGACCAGTTCTTTTCTCTGTCTCTATTGTTCTGGTGAATTTATATACTGTGTGGTGGGTATAGCATTACACTGCCTTTCTCTAATCTTCCGGTACAATTCCTGAATGAAAAGAATCAAGATAGATTAAATACAGAGATTCACACTTAGCTCCTGTAGCGGAGCTCCCTGTACCCCGGCTGGATACCTCCGTCAAGGATCGCTTGCTCCCTGGAACCGGGGAAAACCTCAGCGCTTCTGCCCCAGTCATCGTGTGCTTGACTGGGGTCCTCCTAGAGCCTCACCATAGCTGTATTCCCTCCCAAGGACTGGACGACACACAGTCCTGGGAGCTGTAGTCCTTACAAGCACTTTCCCCTCCGAATCCTCGACAAGCTGGAACAAGGTGCTGAGTAGTCATTAGCCCTTTCCCCTCCAAGTAACTAGACAACACATAAAACCACTTCTTCAGGCAGAGAACTCCACATCCTTATTGTTCTTACTGTAAAAAGAAAACAAAAAAACTTTCATTTGCCTTGGACTTCTTTCTTCCAGTCCTGTTTGTGAATACATTCGGGTGCTCCTGCAGCTACAATACGGGGTGTTCCATCTGACTCTCAGTGAGCATTTGTTCCCCTTAGTCTCAGGCCCCATCCCTCTGAAAAGCGCTCTCCTGTCGGGTTGCAAAGTGGTCCAAAACCCTTGACCAAGTAGTCCGGGAACCGCACGGTCACCTCATTCCAAAAACAGTTCCATAACATTTGCGGCTAAGTCCTGCAGAGGTGACTGGGAACCCACAAAGTTAACATGACAAAATTAGTTCCATAGCAGTCGCAGCTATGTACTACTGAGGACTATTCGTGAATTTGGTTCATGTGAAAGTCCGCCAGAGAGCTAGCATTCGGTTCCATTCAAATGAAGGGAAAGTGGCAAAGCAGGGGCAACCAGGGAAAGCTGCTAACAGCAGCAGGGCAGGGTAACTCCAAAATGGTGTCTCTAACCTGGACCATAGTCAGTGTGCAGGAGGCCAGCTGCCACACTCCTCCAAGAGTCCGTGGCAAACGTTTGTGTGAAGGTACATTTGTCACAGCTCCTTAAGTATTCTTGGGTGAATACCGTTAGGCCCTGGATGTTTGTGTACATTAACGTTCTATAGTTGCTGTAGCCCCTTGTCTTGAGTCATCCAATCACAATTTTTCTACAAGTTTTTTTGCAGCAATCATTGGCATATCTCTTGCCATAGGAGTCCCGTGAATATATATTGCGGAAAAAATATTTTAAATGTCTGCCTTTTCCTGGTCTTAATTAACCCCCATCCCCATTTTCAGTGTACCTACACTTTCATTTTCTATTTGTTTTAGAATTGATGTACTTAAAAAACGCTTTGGGGTTGGTATTGCTGTCTTTGGCTATCACTTCCTCATTTTGTAGTTTAGCTAATCGAATCACCTTTTTGCACCTTTTTCCACGCATATTTGGCTTATTTATATTTTTTACAGAATGCCTCTGATTTGTCTGATTTAAAAGCTTTAAACACCCTTTTATTTTTTATCACTTGATTCACATTCCCACAAAGCCACATTGGTTTCAATGTGTTTCTTTTATACTTATTACCCAATGGTACATAATGAGAAATGAACCTTTCTAATATTTGTTTGAAGATATTCCATTTTTCCTCTGTGTTCTTTTCATTAAATAGATTGTGCCAAGCAATAAATTGTAAACTTCCCTTATCTTATTGAAATTGCCCTTTTTAAAATAATATGTTTTAGTATACTACATGTGCTTTCCTATAGGGTAAGATGTTGTAGTAAGGGGTTAAAGGCAAATGTGGCAGGATAGGGGCTGTAGTGCAGGGTAAAGAACAGAAGTTAGGGGAACAGGGGCGGTAGTGGAGGAAATGGACTGTAGGGGGGATAGGAGCTGTTGGGGGAATAGGGGCAGGACTGGCTCCTTGTTTGGCTCTACGTGTGAGCTTTGTAGCAGACTGAGGAAGCCAGTTTGGTGAAACGCATCTCTGGGGCACTTTACTATTGAAAGACTTAATATTTGTTGCTTTTTATTGGTGTTTTAACACGTTTTAATATATAATAAAGTATATACCTGCTGAATGAAGCTATCAACAAGCTGTTCCATTAAAGAAGGTGTTATAGTTCTTAACACATAGAGCCAAACTAGTAGCATTTTAGATTTTTATCTTTTACAAAAGGTTCTGCACAATTAATTATTTTGAGGTTGTAATTTGAAGATTATCTGAAAGGACAGTTAAGTTGCATACACTTTTGATGTTTTCTTTCACACTTATAAGCACTTCACTCGGATATTTTAGATTGCCACCATTGCTTAATTTTGGATGTGTTTTTAGGAAATAAACACATTAATAGTTTATAGTTACATATTATTCGGAACATTCACTTATTCACAATTATTTATTTAGCACTTTTACTTTTTTGTCACCCTCCTTTTTGACAAAATAGTGTTGCACAGTCCTGGTTAGGGGCAGTAGAGGGTTATTAATGACAGCAGTTGGGGGAGGGTAAGAAGATGTAGTATGGAGATGTAGTAGGGTATAAAGGCTGTAGTTGGTAGTGGGGTATAAGGGCTGTTGTGAGGGGAAGGAGCTAGAGTGGGGTGCTAATGGCATTAGTGTGGTGTTAAGGGGCTGTAGCAAGGATTAGGGTTAGTAGTGGAGGATAGGAGCTAAAGTGGGGTGTTTCAGAAGATGTAGTGTTGGATAGTGGATGTAATATGGATGAGGGGTAGTAGTGGGGGTTTGGGATTAGGGGTAGTAGTGTTGGGTAGTGGATGTAATATGGATTAGAGGTAGTAGTGGGGGGTAGGGGTTGAGTAAGAAAATGTAGTGTGGGTATAAGGGGCTGTATTAGGGATTACGGTAGTAGCAGGGGGCAAAGGGGCATATTAGGGATTATGGGTAGTAGCAGGGGATCCTCAGATCAGCATGATTTTAATACTCTGCATATTAACCATTAATGCCAAAAAAAAGCATCCAAACCTTTTTTAATGATATCTTTATAAACCATCTCGATGCATCACATTCTACATATTAATTATTTTTACTATATGGAACCTTTTATTACGCATGTCCACAGCTATGAATCCATCTTCATATTTGTGCATTTCCTTTAAGGAACACTATCGAGTAGAGTTGAGCGGACACCTGGATGTTCGGGTCCGGCTGGTTCAGCCAAACTTTGAAAAAAAAGTCCGGGTTCAGGCTGGAACTTGACCCCGAACCCGAACCCCATTAAAGTCAATGGGGACCCGAACTTTTGGCCACAAAAATGCCTCTAAAAACTCCTGGAAAGGGCTAGAGGGGCTGCAAAAGGAAGTAGAATGGGGGTAAGAGTAGGACAGGTGCCCTGCAAACAAATGTGGATAGGGAAATCACTTAAAATAACATAAAATAAGCAGCCGCTTAGTAGATAACTTCCTAATTCCCACGGTATTAGGGAGCTATCTACCAAAAGGCTGAAAGACCTAAATTGGTCTTTCAGCCACATTTACTCATACTAAGTAAAGATTACTTAGTATTAGTTAATTCAGCCCCTACTCGCAATACCGCGAGTAGGGCCGTGTCTAGTAAACAGTGAGCAGCCAGTGTTATTACCCCCACCCCTGTGCGACGGGTGGGGGCCCTAAATAAGAATGTGGAGGGGGAAACCTACTGTCCTCCCCCCAGCCCCCACCCCTGCGCAGTGGGTGGGGACCATAAATAAAAAATGGGGGGACACCTACTGTCCTCCCCCCAACCCCCACCCGTGCGCAGTGGGTGGGGGCCATAAATAAAACATGGGGGGACACCTATTGTCCTCCCACCCTGCCCCCACCCCTGAGCGGTGGGTGAGGTCCATAAATAAAAATTGGGGGGGGCGACCTAATGTCCTCCCGCCCGGCCCCCGTCCCTGCGCGGTGGGTGGGGGCCCTAAATAACAAAAAGGAGGGGGGACCTACTGTCCTTCCCCCCGCCCCCACCCCTGAACGGTGGGTGGGGGACATAAATAAAAATAGGGGGGGACCTTATGTCTTTCCCCCGCCCCCACCTCTGAGTGGTGGGTGGGGGCCAGAAATAAAAATCCCCCCCAGGTGACTAGGGGTCCCAAACCCCTAGTCACCCCCCTCCCACCCCTCTCCTCTGATTGGTTAGATTGAAATCCAGCCAGAGTGCTCTGTGTCATTTTACACAGTGTGGGAAAATTCCAAATAACTTTCCCACGCTGTGTAAAATGACACAGAGCACTCTGATTGGTTAGCTTTAAATCCAGCCAATCAGAGTGCTCTGTGTCATTTTACACAGCGTGGGAAAATTCCAAAGAATTTTCCCATGCTGTGTAAAATGACACAGAGCACTCTGATTGGTGGATTTCAAGCCAACCAATTAGAGTGCTGTGACAGGTAAATGTAGAGACTTACCTGTTAGTCTCTTCATTTACCTGTCAGATCACTCTGATTGGATAGCTTAATCCCACCAATCAGAGTGCTCTGAGCCTAATTGCAGGGTGGGGCAAGGCTTTATAAGGTCCTTATTTTTAGAATGAGGGGGTAGGTAGGGGTACTTTTTGGGGGGGTGACTAGGGGTTTGAGGACCCCTAGTCACCGGAGGGGATTTTTTATTCATGGCCCCCACCCACCACTCAGTGGGTGGGGACCATAAATAAAAAATGGGGGGACACCTACTGTCCTCCCCCCAACCCCCACCCGTGCGCAGTGGGTGGGGGCCATAAATAAAACATGGGGGGACACCTATTGTCCTCCCACCCTGCCCCCACCCCTGAGCGGTGGGTGAGGTCCATAAATAAAAATTGGGGGGGGCGACCTAATGTCCTCCCGCCCGGCCCCCGTCCCTGCGCGGTGGGTGGGGGCCCTAAATAACAAAAAGGAGGGGGGACCTACTGTCCTTCCCCCCGCCCCCACCCCTGAACGGTGGGTGGGGGACATAAATAAAAATAGGGGGGGACCTTATGTCTTTCCCCCGCCCCCACCTCTGAGTGGTGGGTGGGGGCCAGAAATAAAAATCCCCCCCAGGTGACTAGGGGTCCCAAACCCCTAGTCACCCCCCTCCCACCCCTCTCCTCTGATTGGTTAGATTGAAATCCAGCCAGAGTGCTCTGTGTCATTTTACACAGTGTGGGAAAATTCCAAATAACTTTCCCACGCTGTGTAAAATGACACAGAGCACTCTGATTGGTTAGCTTTAAATCCAGCCAATCAGAGTGCTCTGTGTCATTTTACACAGCGTGGGAAAATTCCAAAGAATTTTCCCATGCTGTGTAAAATGACACAGAGCACTCTGATTGGTGGATTTCAAGCCAACCAATTAGAGTGCTGTGACAGGTAAATGTAGAGACTTACCTGTTAGTCTCTTCATTTACCTGTCAGATCACTCTGATTGGATAGCTTAATCCCACCAATCAGAGTGCTCTGAGCCTAATTGCAGGGTGGGGCAAGGCTTTATAAGGTCCTTATTTTTAGAATGAGGGGGTAGGTAGGGGTACTTTTTGGGGGGGTGACTAGGGGTTTGAGGACCCCTAGTCACCGGAGGGGATTTTTTATTCATGGCCCCCACCCACCACTCAGGTGAGGGCCGGGGGTGAGGACCTTAGGTCCCCCCCCTTATTGTTATTTAGGGCCCCCACCTGTTACGTAGGGGACATTAGGTCCCCCCCTTATTCTTATTTAGGGCACCCACCCGCCGCGCAGGGGTGGGGGCCGGGGGGAGGACATTAGGTCCCCCCCAATTTTTATTTATGGCCCCCACCCACCGCTCAGGGGTGGGGGCCAGGGGGAGGACATTAGGTCCCCCCTTTATTGTTATTTAGGTCCCCCACCCACCACTCAGGGGTGGGAGCCGGGGGGGACAATAGGTCTCCCCTTTAGTTTAAAAGCCCCCACTTGTGCGTTGCGGGTGGGGGCTCAGGAAGGGGGAATGTTTTTTGGTTTTTTTAACAGTGAGCAGCCACAGGCTGCTCACTTTTTAACAGACACGCCCCTACTCGCGGTATAGTGAGTAAGGGCATAATTTACTAATAATAAGTGACCAGCTTCTATAGAGGCTGGGTCACTTGCTGCACTGGCCAATCACAGCCATTAGTCATTAATCGCCGAACTCCGAACTCTGAACTCCAACCCGAACATACAGTGATATGTCCGTGTTCGGGGTCCAAAAAACCTAATGTTTGGTTCGCTCAACTCTACTATAGAGCTGTCTGAACTGTCCTCATACATATTTGTACATTGTTATCATATGTTTATTCAGCACCCGCTGACCATGGGCGCGGGCAGGGCATGTGTAGTGATCTGTACACCCCACATTTTTTATTTAATCCTGATGCCCACGTGTGGGTGCATTGGGGGACTAAGCCCCCTCATTATTTTACAAGCTCCATCCTTTCTGGTGACTGGGAAGCAGTCACTAATTTTAGAGATTTACTAGATATGCATGGCATGTGAGAGTTAGGTAATACGGGGATCATATTGACCCCAATAGGCGTATATTTTATTTTTACTATGATGTGGCAGCTGTCTGGCACCATATGGTTAACCCTATAACCAGTTTCAAACTATTTGCTCATTGACTCTAGCACTGCTAGAGAACAAGTATTTGGGATTTTTAAAAGCTGTATTTGAAACATTCAGATCTCGATTTCAGTCGTCCCGTCCTGCTGAAATCTGGACTTCATTTAGGTTTGTTAAATAGTGGGAATAATGCTCGGATTGTGCAGTCCAATAGCACAGCACTCATTTTGTACATGGACATTTGGACTCAGTTATGTTGGCTGATGGTTAGAATTTCCAGTTTAATAAATTGCCCATAATTCACACCAATTAACCCCTTAACGCCGTAACGGCTTAAGCCCCCAGAGGACCGGCGGTACTCACCTCCGCCGCGATCCTCAGAGAGCGATCACATGGCCCCCCCGTAGCTGGCTATGGATCTGCCAGCAGGGGGACTGTCTGAAATATCAGACAGTCCCCCTGCTGGTGGGAAATTAAAAAAAAAAAATAAATAAACGTGTAAAAATAAATTCAATATATTTATATATGGAAGGCGTGGCCTGAAGTTGTGGGAAGGGCTGGGTTACCCTTCTTAAGGGACTCCAGACCCTTCCCTCACTACCTGTTAGGTTCGACGGATTGCTGGGGAAGTATTCGTCACTTCCGGTTTCGGACAGCAGTTTCCGGCGGGCTCGTGCGCGTTAGGTCGGGCAGTTTCTCCGAGGCATCCAGGATTACCTCCGGATACCACGGGCTGGTGCGCGCTAGGTCGGGCAGTCGGCGGGCAAATTTTCACGCTGCAAATCGTAAGTTAAAACGGCCGTCGCAAATTTGTCGGCGCGGCCGTTTTACGTCATCACTAAGGGCAATATGCTACACGCTCACAAAGTACTAGTATAATACAATGTTATACAACAACCTAGTCACGTCTTGATACTTTGTCACATTATAAGCACACTTATGCTTATTTCTCACGTTACTTTTATTCTTGTGTCCATTCATTACAACGCTGTTACTTAAAAGCATACACTGGTATAGGCACCAGAGCGACCTCTGGTGTCTAAAATTGTGATTTGAGTTTCTTGTACCTGTTCTGTCATTTATGCTATTTTAAGTTTCATAAAGTTTGCAGTTATTTAAAGCAAATTTGGCATATGGGGTTACAATCAGTAATATGTGCAGATACGTTTTATGTGGGGCACGTATTTTAATACAATTATTAGGCTGCTAGCCTAACAATGACTACGGATCTTGGTATTGGGAATTTATATATATGCATGATTAGCACTTAAGATGTCTTTTAAACTCTTTTCAGTATTTTCTCTGCATTCCCACGGTGAGCAGCTATTCTAACAACTTGCACAGGACTTAGGTCAGTTCACTCGAGTTATTTTCTACTTAACAGTCACCCTACGCCAGGGTCCTTATATGTGTTTTTCTGTATTTTAGGTATAGGCATCCTTGCTCTTTTGTTAATTGGTGCCCAGCCCTCTGCTAGGGCAATATTGCTGGTAGGTATCTGAATAACAGGGGAGTTAGGGGTCATATTTCTGTGCCCGTACAAATGTATATTACTTTCGTAGGTGACTACAGATCGTCTGTACCTCCTTTTCCTCATAATAGCTGTCAACCCGCTCATCAGGTACGTCATATCTTTTCGACTATTTTTCCCCATACCTTCCCTTTCGGCTTAGTACAGATTTACTGGCTTACAATAAATAGGACCCACTAGCTACGTTTTCTGGCCTCTTATGCCTTACGTTAGTGGTCCCGCGAGGCCAACACCCATCCTCATTTCGGAGGTACGGCATCCCCTCGGGCCCATTCATAGCTAGCCGCCTCTCTTAGTTGCATAGAGAGGGCCTCACTTGTCACTCCCATTCTGTCTTATGCTGTTACAAATCACAGAGAGGCCTCCACCCCACCATAATGCCAATGGCCACGTACTCCACACGAGCCAAATCATAGATAGCACCTCTCATAGCCGCTTGGCTACTAGCAGGGCCTCACCTGTCACGTTACTTAATAATTCTTTGCCGCTTGGCATTAGTTATCATAAGCCAGTTGGATAGTACCCCAGGTAACATGTCATTTTTATGTTATAGCATGTCCCAAGTTCCGGAAGGAAGGGAAGTTGAGTCCTTACCCAGAACACCAGCTAGATCAGTCACTCCGTCTCGGGGTGACGACATCGCAAGCCCTGCCTCACTCAGGGCATGGACTATTCCCAGGATCACGGCCGAATTAAGGAAGAGAAATATTCCTTTCCCTGCTACAGCTAGGAAAGCAGAACTGTACAGATTGCTGAACACACAGACTGATAACGCGGGGGCAGGTGAAGGGTCCAGTGGCACCCAATCTTCAGATCTGAATACGATTCTGTCCTCAGTCCTGACCTCTTTGGGTCGTATTACTGACAAACTAGACAAAATGGATGCAGAAAGCCAGCAAAAGTCGCTGGCTGCTGCAGTGGATCCGGCCGCTTCGGTCCATTTGGACCCCCTACCGGGTAATTTACATAATAGGTTCAAAGACCCACATATTATTAACCCTGCACACATGGTGCCTGCTAAAACAAAGAAGAACATCTTGGAAGGGAAAGATATCAATTTGGTATCACTTTTGATAGCCTCACAAGATGTCCTAGAGAATAAGACCTATGCATACGGTGATGTGTCAGAGGTATTGAAGTCCAGAGACCCCAGGTTGAATCAGAAGCTATCAATTCTAGAATTTGTACTAGCTTTCGGTATATACAGAGATGTAATATGCTCGGTATACCCGGATAGGAGGGAGGAATTGGACCTGTATCTCCACAAGCTGGTGGATTTGGGGCATAAGTACGGTGGTACGTCTTTTTACGACTACCACCGTGCCTTTTCCGCGAAGGCGTCGGCAGCCCTTTCACAGTTCAATTACCAAACGGATTGGGGCGTCCTGGATACAGAGCTTTTTTGCCGGCACTTCGCGGGCCTAAAAACCCCAGCTTGTGCCATTTGCTCGTCCAATTCCCACACGGCTAATCTGTGCCCTAATTCTCCAGAGGTAAACGCTGTTTTTCCACCTCCTAATGTAGTACCCACAGGGAGACCTGGCAGGGTGCTTAAAGATAAACTAGGCCGTGATATAGTGTTTTTGGGTAAATCGCAGGTCTGTAACAATTTCAACTCAGGTTCCTGCGGTTACAGTGCCTGCAGACTTCTCCATGTTTGCTCACTATGTTTCAGAGCTCACTCCAAGGCAATGTGCCCAAATAAACTATACCCTAAGCAGTACTTATTGTCTCTTCATGTCTCCCTACTGAAACAACTTTTGCATGATCACCCTTCCCAACATCTCGTTGATTTTTTGGTGACAGGGTTTAAGATGGGGTTTCACACGGGTATTATTCACATGCCCATGGGGATCCTAGAATGTAATCATTTGCAGACAGCCTTGGCAGCACCCAACACTATTGACTTACTCCTACAGAAGGAAATTGACCAAGGTTTCTTATTAGGCCCTTTCAACCCCCCGCCTTTCGCAGTTTGGAGGACAAACCCATAGGACTGGTCACCAATAAATCCTCCAATAAACAAAGATTAATTCTCGATCTGTCCGCCCCCCATGCATCTCATACCCCAAGTCTAAATTCACTAATCCCGTCTGAGGAGTTTTCCCTCCAGTATGCCACCATAGATAATGCAGTAACAGCCATACTCTCAGCAGGGGTAGGGGCATGGCTGAGTAAAACTGATATTGCCAACGCTTTTAAGCTGCTCCCTATCCACCCATCCCTATGGCATTTACATGGTGTTAAGTGGCGAAGTTCATATTACTTCTTCACGCGTCTCACGTTTGGCTCTAAAAGCAGCCCCAGGATTTTCGATATCTTCGCTGAGACGTTGTGCTGGATGCTGCTTAACATCTGTAAATGTCCCACAGTTATCCATTACCTGGACGATTTCCTGACCATAGAAAGTAACCTAGTACCTCCCAGTAGCCTCCAATCTATCACACAACTGTTTACACAACTGGGAGTGCCTATTTCACCTACTAAGACTGAGGGTCCAGATACTATCATCCACTTCTTGGGGGTGGTACTGGACTCTGTAAACATGCAAGCTAGCCTACCCAGGGAAAAGATTGAGCGCATCCTGGCAGCTATCGACCTTTACTTAGGAGGAGGCTCATGTAATAGGAAGGAGTTGCAATCATTGTTGGGTTCTCTAAATTTCGCTATGAGAATCATTCCACAAGGTAGAGCATTCATTTCAAGGTTACTTAGACTGTTTCCAATGTTGCAATCTGACACCTCCCGCATTACTTTAGACGTACAGGCCACCGCTGACCTACATATGTGGAGAGAGTTTTTGCAAAATTGGAACGGGAAAAGCAAGTTTATACCGGTTTGGTCAGAGAAGTCGGAGTCAGTCTGGACAGATGCCGCAGCCACATCAGGTTTTGCAGCAATATGGGGCAATGAATGGATGTGGGGAGAATGGCCTTGGGAAATTACAGAGATCCCCCGGTTTAAGGACATTTCAGCCTTGTTTGAGCTCTATCCTATCTTAGCGGCAGCAGTTAAGTGGGGAGCGAGTTGGTCCGGGAATACGGTTCGTTGCTTCTCGGACAATATGGCAACATGCAATATTGTAAACAAGGGGCGTTCCTCTTCCCTCACCATCATGCGTTTCATGAGGACTCTCACATGGCTCGCTGCAAAACACAGTTTTCTTCTCACTTGTGTTCATGTGCCTGGGGTTCTCAACGTTGCAGCTGATCATTTGTCACGGTCTCGGTTTCAGGAGTTTCGGGAGGCCCTGCCAACAGCTACCCTGATACCAACTCCAGTTCCAAAGTGGCAGGAAATGGTCTGGGACTAAAAGTTCTGCTATGTCAAGGGCGACAACTCTCACAGCTCGGTCTCTCCGATAATACCAGGAAGGCATATGAAAGGGCTTTCCATGTTTTCAATAAATTCTTGTTGGACTTTAATGTCACTGACCAGTTTTCTGTGGAAACCATTATTGCTTTTATTTCTTTTTGCCACTTTCATCTAACATTATCTTACAATACCATCAAATTGTATATCACAGGCATTCAGCATCACATCCTCACCACTTGGCCTAACAAACAACGCTTTCTGTCGTCCTACCAAGTTAAGGCTATACTTAAAGGCATCAAAGACTCCGCCCCTATAGCCTCACCAACTAGACTGCCCATACACGATGTATTGTTTCAGTCACTGTCAAAACTACTAGACACCTCACCATTTGAAGCCCATACTAATCGTGTGATTAAAGCCGCCATCTATTTAGCATTTTACGTTTTTTTACGGCCCAGAGAATTCACTACTACTAGCTATAATTCACCCATTTTCCTCACAAGGTCCGATCTGATAAAGGTCCAAGATCACTATCTTCTGTTACTGCACCATACCAAAACGAGCGCCCCCGGGCAAACGGTCACTATACCCTATTACCCCACAAGTAATACTTGGTGCCCGGTGAAGGTTTTCGACACCCTTCTTGCCTTTGACAATATGGTTCCAACACAACCACTCCTGTCCTTACACGGTAATAAGCTCACTACGAGCCAATTCATGATGTATATTAGGAGATTGTTAGTCCGGTTAGGACTTAACCCAGCCAGCTACTCTGGTCACTCTTTTAGAATAGGAGCCGCCACCACCGCTTCTAAAAAGAATATCCCTTCTCACATTATTAAGATACTAGGACGATGGAAATCTACGGCATACACCAGATACATCCCTCAGCCCATACAAGAAGTACGCCTGGCTTTCAAAACTATGAATATGTAATCTGTTATGTCCGGTTGTAGGACGAATAAATGGTTATCTCTTTTTGCCCTCTTTTATTTCAGGCCTAATTCCTTGTCAGTTCCGGCACACCACAACTGACATTTCCTTTCATGGTTTGTCCTATTTATATAAGTTATACTACGGCTTATGCCCTGACCACAAATGGAAGGCGTGGCCTGAAGTTGTGGGAAGGGCTGGGTTACCATTCTTAAGGGACTCCAGACCCTTCCCTCACTACCTGTTAGGTTCGACGGATTGTCCCACCCACCACACCACTTTCATAAGCAATTTATAAGGTAGGCCCTCTTTTATTTCAGGCCTACTTCCTCGTCAGTTCCGGCACACCACAACTGACATTTCCTTTCATGGTTTGTCCTATTTATATAAGTTATACTACGGCTTATGCCCTGACCACAAATATATATATATAAATATATAATATATGTATATATAATAAATATATATATTTACATATTATATACATATAACGTCATACGTAATGTATTTTAATACTAATATTAGTATATATATTAGTATTAAAATACACTTAGAATGACGTTACATATATATAATATGTGTATATATTATATATATATAATAGATATATACACATATATTATATATATACGTATAATTACAATAATAAAGATATAAAATAATAAAATAAATACATAAAATATTGAAACAAAATTTTATTAAAATTATATAGTCATATGTAATTTCATTCTAACTGTATTTTGTTATTAATATATATATTGGTAACAAAATACACTTAGAATGACATTCTATATCTATCTATCTACATATAAAATACAAATAACCACAAATATATATATATATAGATAAATACATAAAATTACATAAAAGATTACATTAGTATACACGTAGAATTTAAATACCTATAAATGCATATATATTAAAATTCTACATGTATATTTAAGTAATCTTTTAACATAATTATGTGATTTGATTAATTAAAATTTGATTGACATGCCTGACAACACAGGGAGAAAGTGCAGAGAATTTAATTCGCAAGCACTATATTTGACCCTGTAACTCTCCAAGACACCATAAAACCTGTACATAGGGGGCACTGTTTGACTCGGGAGACTTCGCTGAACTCAAATATTAGTGTTTCAAAATGGTAAATTGTATTACAACGATGATATTTTAAGTAAAAGTGCAGTTTTTTGCATTTTTTACAAACAAACGGCACTTTTATGGACTATATTATTGTTTTAAAACACTAACATTTGTGTTTAGTGAAGTCTCCCGAGAATAACAGTACCCCCCATGTACAGGTTTTATGGTGTTTTGGAAAATTAGAGAGTCACATATAAGGCTTGCATTTCATTTTTTTTACATTGAAATTTGCCAGATTGGTTACGTTGCCTTTGAGAGCGTATGGTAGCCCAGGAATGAGAATTACCCTCATGATGGCATACCACTTGCAAAAGTAGACAACCCAAGGTATTGCAAATGGGGTATGTCCAGTTATTTTTAGTAGCCACTTAGTCACAAATACTGGCCAAATATTATTTTTTTGCTTTTTTCACACAAAAACAAATATGAACGCTAAATTTGGCCAGTGTTTGTGACTAAGTGGCTACTAAAAAAGACTAAACATACCCCACGTTCAATACCTTGGGTTATCTACTTTTTCAAATGGTATGCCATTATGGGGGTAATTCTCATTCCTGGGCTACCACACCGTCTCAAAGGTAACATTACTAATCTGGCAAATTTCTATTTGAAAATGGAACGTTCTATATTTGACCCTTTAACTTTCCAAAACACCATAAAACCTGTTAATGGGGGGTACTGTTGTACTTGTGAGACATCGCTGATTACAAATATGGGCATTTGTTTGCAGTAATACCTAACAGTATGATGACATTCACAGCTAAAATGTCAGACGGAAATACAAATTTAAAAACAAATCTTATTTTCTCAATTTTTTTTATATTTTATTCATAACAAATTATGTTCCATATATGAATAGTTAATGATACATTAAAGCCCTGTTTCTCTTGAACAAAATGATATATAATAAGTGTGGGTGCACTTAATGTGACAGCGGTGAATTACGGTTGGACAGACATATAGCGCAAATTCCAGTTTTTGTTTACGTTTTGTTTTGATCAGAACGTGTACTATTGACTCCGTCCTGTAGGGGTTAATGGAGTGCCAACAGGTGACTGATATTCACTTTTATTTATGTAAAATATATTTTTTCCGCTATTTTCAGGAAATCTCTGTATAATGAAATTCCTGCTCAATGTGCAGCAATGAATCTCACCATTGAATTCAAACCTTGCGAGTCTGCGCTGCGCTGGATCTGTGAAAAGACAACAGAGAAACACAATTTATACGAACAAACAAAGAATTGCTAAATTGGAATAATGTAATAAAAAGCTAAATAATTATTTCCAGAGTTTATAAATTGCAAATAGTGTTTGAAATCTGTCATTGTTAATAATGACTCTGTAACATAGAAACATAGAGTGTGACAGCATTCGACTCATCTAGTCTGCCAATATTTCAAAATACTGTCATTAGTCCCTTTATCTTATAGTTAGGATAGCCTTATGCCTATACCACGCATGCTTAAACACCTTTACTGTGTTAACCTCTACCAATTCAGCTGGAAGGCTATTCCATGCATCCACTACCCTCTCAGTAAAGTAATACTTCCTGATATTATTTTTAAACCTTTGCCCCTCTAATTTAAGACTAATATGGTCTTCTCCTTTACTGTGTTGATTCCCTTTATGTATTTAAATGTTTCTATCATATCCCCCCTGTCTCGTCTTTCCTCCAAGCTATAACTGTAAAGATCCTTTAACCTTTCCTGGTAAGTTTTATCCTGCAATCCATGAACCAGTTTAGTAGCCCTGTATGTACCTAGTGGGCATTGGATGGTATATTCCCCTCATCCCCCATAAAACCATAACTTACCCCTTCAAATAACGACAGACACAACTTCTTGTATAAAACAGGCCACAGCATTTTATTAACACCACCAAATACTGAATAACTCCTTTAAAATATAACGTACATAATAAATATCATAAATTAACATGAACAATTTGCATACAGTCATACAGTAACCAAAGAAACCGTCCTTGCCAATCTAAGTCCTTCTTCCCAAAGGCTCTCACCTCCCCCCGTTGGCATAATAAAAACATCTTCCGTTTCAGGGCTCCCCACCAGACGGTTTTCGGCTCGGTGGGGCCCAACCATAATGCTCCCGACCAGTCGGCTTTAAACCCAGTGGGGACACGTCCAACCTGGTACCCCCTCCAGGTTCACCATAAGAGACAGGGGGAGGATGAGACCCCTGTCTCATCCAGGGGGAGGATGAGACCCTTATCCCCCTTTTTCATTTTACCTACAAAACCATTCCTTATTTGGCAAGGACATGCCCCCACCACAAACCCAGCTGTTTTAAGCCTAAAATCAGCGGGGGCCCCCACCTGAACCCCTCAGGGCCTGTTCCCAACCTCCGTCAGATGCACCCCATCTGGTCTAAATAAATTTGCATCCTTTTCAAAAACCTGGTACCGTATTGAGATCCCCCCAACCCCACCACAAACTTCGCAATCTTTTTGCGGCTGCGCTCCAGCGCACTCTGGCTGTGGGCCTGCCGCCAATAATTCCTCGCCACTACCTCCAACCAAATTAGGGAGACATTGGGGAACAGGATCAAGATCTGGGAAAAGTTCCTCCTGACCATGTCCACCATGCCCCCCACCGGCACGGTCCCCAGGTCTAAACGGATAACTAAAACCGATGGAGCCCCAAGCAAGCAGGAGAGCCTGACCAAGTCAGGGAGGAGCCGGACCCACCTCGTTCCTCTGGCCCCGGACCACCATACCTCCGCAGTTAAAGGCATGAGACCAGGATGCTCCAGGGGTCAAGTCCTGGGGAAAAAAGTGTGGGAACTCTCCCCAAAAAAAACCAAAACACTTGTATGTATGTGTATATATGTATTAAGGCAGTTTTGCCTGTATTTGTGGGAGGGGCTTAAATTAATTCACTCCCCTATATAAGGGACACCCCTTACCTGACTCATATCGCTTGAGGTCAGCATCAGAATGATTTCCACTTCCGGGTCATCCAGACGCCATTTTACCTGATTACTCCATGAGGTTTTCTAAGCTGAGCTGTGTCAGGAATCCAGCCACAGGCTTTTCCGGCCTACCACCTTCTTTCTTCAATCTATCGCTGTGGATGGTGTCCAAGTGACTCACAAACCGTAAGTTGACCTACCCATTACGCCAGGCATCAGTCCCACGGCACCATGCAAGGGTCAGGTCCTCACTTTACTGCTGCATTTTGTCTAAATCTGTTCTAAAACCATTGCATGTTCAGGCATATCATTCGTTTAAACCCCCTTCTGGTCTTTGGGTGTACTACAGACTTCTTAGACATTATCGCATTTCATGTACAAACCAACGAACCACTGCATCTTTGCCTACACACTGACCCCTACCGGTCATTCGGTGTACTACAGGATTCTCAGACATTATTGCATTTCATGTACAAACCAACGAACCACTGCATTTTTCACCTACACACTGACCCCTATTGGTCATTCGGTGTACTACAGGCTTTTTAGGCGTTGTTTGCATTTTCATGTACAAACCAATAAACCACTGCATTTACACCTACACACTGACCCCTACTGGTCTTTCGGTGGACTACAGGCTTCTTAGACATTATCGCATTTCATGTACAAATCAATGAACCACTGCATTTGCGCCTACACACTGACCCCTACCGGTCATTCGGTGTACTACAGGCTTCTCCGACATTATTGCATTTCAGGTACAAACTAACAAACCACTTAATTTTTCACCTACACACTGACCCCTATCAGTCATTCGGTGTACTACAGGCTTCTTAGACATTATTGCTTTTCATGTACAAAACAATAAACCACTGCATTTTCACCTACATACTGACACCTACCAGTCATTCTGTGTACTACAGGCTTCTCAGACATTATTGCATTTCATGTACAAAACAACAAACCACTGCATTTTTCACCTACACACTGACCCCTATCAGTCATTCGGTGTACTACAGGCTTCTTAGATATTATTGCTTTTCGTGTACAAAACAATAAACCACTGCATTTTTACCTACACACTTACACCTACCGGTCATTCAGTGTACTACAGGCTTCTCAGACATTATTGCATTTCATGTACAAACCAACAAACCACGGCATTTTCGCCTACATGCTGACCCCTACCGGTCATTCAGTGTACTACAGGCTTCTCAGACATTATTGCATTTCATGTACAAACCAACGAACCACGGCATTTTCGCCTACATGCTGACCCCTTCTGTTAGTGGTCCCGTGAGGCCAACACCCCGCCTCACACTCGGAGGCATACACCCCTCGGGCCACTCGTGAGCTAGCCGCCTCGCATTGTATCATAGAGAGGGCCTCACCTGTCACTCCCCTTCCTATTTTCTGGTTACTGTCACCGAGAGGCCAACATCCTGCCACAATGTAAGGTGGCCACACAAAATCCCCTCGCACCAAGCATAGATAGAGCCTCTCAAGCCACTTGGCAACTAGCAGGGCCTCACCAGTCACCAAAAAACACCAAACCTAATCGTTTCGCCTTACGGCTTAGCTAGCAAGCCAGTACAAGAACCCTGGGTACAAATAATTGCATCTTTATTGTTATTTAAGTATTTCTCCAAAAGATGGTGAAGAATCACCTCTTCCTAGCACCCCGGCTAGAATTGATACACCTTCAAGCAGAGGAGATGTTGCTAGTCCTGCAGCAATCAGATCCTGGACGATCCCACACATTACCACCGACCTAAGGAGGTGACAAATCCCCTACCCTGCTACAGCAAGGAAAGCAGAGTTATTCAAACTCCTCCATACATCAACGGACAACACGGAGGCAGGGGAAGGCCCAGCTACATCAACTCAGGTGACACCCAGGCTATGCTAGCCTCACTCATAAACTCATGAGCCAAAAATTTTTATGACAGACTGGCAATCTCGAGTTGGTCACCACAGCCCTCACAAGGCTGGGCCTCACGTTACTGTACAACCAGCACCAACCGAAACTCGGTTACCTGGTACAATCAATTCTTATGACACACAAGATGTTAACCCTGCACGTATGATCCCAGCACATTGGGGAAGCAAGGCATATATATGTATGATGATGTATCTGTGATGGTCAGATTCAGGGATTCCAGGTAAATCGGGAACTGACCATCTCTTGGATGGGTTGGTATTTGGAATATGTAGAGATGTTTATTTGTGCAGGTACCCATACAGAAGGGGTTCTGTCCCAAACAAATGGACGAGCACTCTCAGGCTCCAGGTACCAGCACCTCTGAACTACCAGAGACGATTGATATGAGTAGTTGCATTGCATATAGACTGTTGCATATATGTTCAAATGGTTCAGGGCACATGACAAACCATGTGGCCCAATACAACTTACAAATAACGTACTCACCATCTGTACACACCAATGCATTTTCAACACTACTGACTCATCACCCTTCCAGACTTGTAGTAGATTTACTAAAGCTCTGGAGCTTCAAAGGCTCCCATACAGGTATCATAAACACACCTTCAAGGAATATAGCATGCCCTCACTTACAGTCAGCACAACAAAACCATTGGCTGAAAACACACTCATAGCCAAGATTTGCAGAGTGGTCTTCCAATCTCCACCATTTACAGCATGGCACCAAACACACACATTGGTATTGTCACAAGGAATCTTCCCTTAAACAAAGACTAACCATAGACTTATTGGCACCACACACCTCCGTTACCCCAAGTCTCAACTCCCTTCTTACTATACAACACCATTGATCTACCTTTACAGCTATCACTCAAGCATGGGTTAAAGCTTGGTTAAGTAAGACCAATATCATCAACGCAGTAAACAGCTACCATCTACCCTACACACTGGCACTTACATGGCATAAATTGGGCAATCCTTTCCCTGCTCAACTTTCGAGCTACAGATTAACCTACTATCGATATTCGCAGATACTCTGTGCTGGTTATGATAACATATCCAGAGGCATTACAGTCATACACTATCTAGAAGACTTCTTGTTGCTCAAAGAAAGCATATTTTTCACTAGAAGCCTCATGGCAGCTTAGTCTGGTTGACCACTTGGGTGTCCCAGTACCCCATAAGAAACAGAAGGCGCAGACACTATCATCACATTACTGGGCATATGACTTGAGTCGGCATCCATACACGCAAGTTACCACAAGACAAATAGGGAACATTCTCAACTAAATCAATCACTACCTCCTGCTTAGTACTTACAACTACAAGGAACTACAATCCCTACCAGGTTCCTTAATTTTGCCATGCCAATCATACCACAAGACCACGCTTTCACATCCAGAGTACTTTCCCCTTTTTTCCACACTTCCAACATGACGATCAGAGGAGGTGCCTAGACACCTCAGCAACAGCAGACCTGCACATGGGGGGGATTTCTTAACCACTTGGCATGGTAAAAGCATGTTCCTTCCAGGATTGTCTGACACTTCTCCAACCAGATGGTCAGACGCAGCGTAAACCACGGGTTTGGCAGCGATCTACCGGGAACAATTGCTTTGGGGCTGTTGGCCATGGCATCCAGGTTTGGAAATTTTTCCACCACTTCAGCCCCTTTGGGAGATCTACCCCATTGTAGCAGCTGCTGTGGCATGGGGTAAATCATGGTCAGGGTCATCAATCCGTTGTTACTCAGACAACTAAGCACATATCATATCATCAACAAACGCCACTACTCATCCATAAGTTCATGATGTTTCTGGGGAACTCACTTGGTTGGCCACTTATCACATTTCACTTTCATGTACCAGACGGGGGTATACATCCCTGCCGACAACTGTCTCATTTATATTCCAGGCATGTTCATCATACGCTTCCTACAGCCGCCCATACAGTCACGTCCACTCTTTCGTTCCAGAGACAAAATCATGGATTAGACATACTCATGCAGCATAGCATGCACTATCCCACCTAGCACTTTCGTCCCATACTTGTAGAACGCATAACACAGCTTTTCACCTGGCTTAAAGAATCTCATTGGAACACGACATAGCTCAACCTGTGTCACAAAATTTCTCCTAAGTTTTGCTTATTTTTGCCACCTTAAACTTAAACTATCTCATACACCATTAATTATATATTTTACAGGCATTCAACAACACATGATAACCTATGGCCAAAACTACCATAAACTTCATGCTATCATACCAGAAAAGAATATACTCCAGAGGTTTTCAGGAATCCATTCCCCCACGTTCCTCTCAGAGATTACCAATAGCCATCCAACTGTTCATCCTTATCGGACCTATTAGATCTACAACCATTCAATTATACTACCAAGTCGGCCATTACCAGCCATGCACATTGCCTTTTATGCCTTTCTCAGGCCAGAGAATCCACTACCATCACCACCACTCAGACAGATCATTGTCTTCAACGATCCCACGTACGTAAACACATATATCATTACCTATTGGCTCTACCACATTCCGAAATGAGTCAACATGCACCAACAGTAGAGATAACATACTATCCTACCCACAACAAATGGTGCCCACTTTCGGTCCTAGATTCCTACCTTCAAAATCCTTTCAGGAATTAAATACTGTAATGCATTTAAGGAAATGTCTGGTTAATTTGTATATATTTGTTGACTGTATTAAATCTTTGATTATTCATTTTTGCCCTCTTTATTTACAGGCCTACCGTATCGTCGGTATCGGCACACCACAACCGACTTGCTCCCTTTACACTATCCTAAGCTTATGCTGGATCCTTACTCCATATACGGCTATTTTGCCCCTTACACAAGTATTAAGGCAGTTTTGCCTGTATTTGTGGGAGGGGCTTAAATTAATTCACTCCCCTATATAAGGGACACCCCTTACCTGACTCATATCGCTTGAGGTCAGCATCAGAATGACCCTCCCACCCACTCCTCATTTCAACACTTTCTCTTTTCTTTCCATTTACTTTACTTTCTTACTCCTTGGTGGGCCCTCTTTATTTACAGGCCTACCGTATCGTCGGTATCGGCACACCACAACCGACTTGCTCCCTTTACACTATCCTAAGCTTATGCTGGATCCTTACTCCATATACGGCTATTTTGCCCCTTACACAAATGTATGTATGTATGTATGTATGTATGTATGTATATATATATATATATATATATATATATATATATATATATATATATATATATATATATATATATATATATACACACACACACATACACACGCGTGCACACACACATACACTCACACAGTGGTGTATTTTAATTTTATGCTGCCCTAGACATGACTATAGAGCACCCCCCTAATCTAAATTTACCACTCCTTCATGTCAAGGGCGCACCGCTTCCTGATTAAGAACCCACCCCTTCCTCTTTAGGCTCCACCTTTTCCTGCTCCTTTTAAAGAAATACTATAGTGCCAGGAAAACAAAGTTGTTTTCCTGGCACTATAATTCTGTATAGTGCCCCCCTCCTCTCATGTCCTCCCCTCCCCCACTCGACACTGAAGGGGTTAAAATCCTATGGGTATTTAGCAGATGCTGGATGTCCTCATGCACAGGGTGAGGACGTCCAGCATCAGTTAGGTGACTTTTGGTCACCTAACCACCCGAAAGTCCCTCTAGTGGCTGTCTGATAAACAGCCACTAGACTTGGAGTTACCCCTCAGGTAATTATTGCAGTTTCTGAGAAGGTTTAAGGGGACTGGGACACTGCACCCAGACCACTTCAAGGAGTTGAAGTAGTCTGGGTGCCTATAGTGTCCCTTTAAGCACACTCTCTGACAGACACCCACACTGGCAGATACACACTGACAGTAACACACACATTCAATGACAAACACACAGACGTCACTGATTTTACACACACATTCACTGACACACACTCATTCATTGACAGAGAGACACACACTAATAGTCACACACACACTAAATGACAGACTCTCACTTATTTGACAGAAACTTACAATAACGTATGCACATACATGCAATTGCAAACATACACATGCATACACTAACAGAAGCACATACACTCACATACACACGTACAAACGCTAACAGACATAAATACACTCCTACACACACTGAGACAAACAGACATCCACAGACAGACATCCACAGACAGACATCCACAGACAGACATCCACAGACAGACATCCACACATCCAGACGTCCACAAACAGACGTCCACACATCCACAAACAGACATCCACACATCCACAAACAGACATCCACACATCCACAAACAGACATCCAGACATCCACAAACAGACATCCACAAACAGACATCCACAAACAGACATCCACAAACAGACATCCACACATCCACAGACATCCACACATCCACAAACCCACAGACATCCACACATCCACAAACCCACAAACAGACATCCACAAACAGACATCCACAAACAGACATCCACACATCCACAAACAGACATCCACAAACAGACATCCACACATCCACAAACAGACATCCACAAACAGACATCCACACATCCAAAAACAGACATCCACATCCACAAACAGACATCCACACATCCACACATCCACACATCCACAAACAGACATCCACAAACAGACATCCACACATCCACAAACAGACATCCACAAACAGACATCCACACATACACAGACATCCACACATACACAGACATCACACATCCACAAACAGACATCCACAAACAGACATCCACACATACACAGACATCCACATATCCACAAACAGACATCCACAAACAGACATACATATATACAAATTAATAATAATATAAAAAAATTAACATTTCCCACCCACCCAGCATCCCTACCTTTCCCTGGGGTCCAGTGGGGCTGCAGTGAGGACGGCTCTCTCCCTGTCACACGCGGAGAGGGAGCTGTGTGCTCTCTGCTCCCTCTCGCCGCGTGGGATGTCTGCTGATGCTGGGAGCCGGGTTGATGACGTCATATTCCGGCTCCCAGCATCAGCAGACATCCCGCGCGGCGAGAGGGAGCAGAGAGCACACAGCTCCCTCTCCGCGTGTGACAGGGAGAGAGCCGTTCGCCATCAGGTGGCCCCCCCATGACAGGGGAAACAAGGGGGGGCATTTGGGGGCGGCATTTTTTGCCGCCACCTGAGTGCCTGCAGGGGGAACGGCGTTCCTGCTGTGAAAAAAGTGCAGGAACGCCGTTCCCACGCTTTCCTGCAGGACTCGAGCCCTGGGATGCTCCCCTCGAGCCGGACTGCTGCTCTCTGCCGCGCCCAATGGATATAGGAATGGCCGATCAACCAAACCTTGCAGGGGACCAGACCTGGGGAGGAAAACCAAAACATTTAGCTCAGGAGACCGGCAGGATGCACATAGGACACAAACGAATCCTAAAGGAAACCCAGTCCAGCCCCTCCCTAACATCCGAGAAAAGGATTCCCCCACTGGTCGACCTGCTCGGACACACCAACTCCCCAATCCTTATGGCCCCAAAGAAAGCAACTTCTGGTGAGGCAGGCGGTTAAGGGGCGGTTAAGAAAGCCCCTTAACTGCCTGCCTCACCAGAAATTCTTTGGTCACGTCCCACCACCACGGCAGCTTAAGGCCAAAGACGGCATGCCCGCCAACACCCAAAATTCCAATAGCCGTAACAGACCTGCAACCGAGTGGGCGTATCCTGAAAACCCCCCACTCTTGCCTCCCACTCGAGCCATTTTGCCCATACCTTCGAGTATCTATCTGGCCCAAGTGGAACTCGACACCGATCCTCGAACCAGGTCCATCAGCCTGCTGAGCCCAGGGACCATAGTTCCACTGGACAACAGCACTTTTCCTCGTCCGCATGAGGAGCAGCTGCCCGGAACTCCGCCCACTGTGAACAAGAGAGAGCATCCGCAATTACATTGTGAACCCCAGGAACATGCAGCGCCCTACATGATACGTTAAAGCACAGGCACCGCAGCACTAAGCGCTGGAGCAAACGAACCACCGGCGTAGAGGAGGCAGAGAGCTGGTTAATCGCCTGGACGACCCCCAGGTTGTCACAGTGAATGACAACCCGCCGGTCCTATAAGTCCAGACCCCAGAGTTCCAATGCCACCACTCTGGGGAAAAGTTCAAGGAAGGCCAGATTCCTAGTCAGGCCAGAGGCGAACCACTCCTCCGGCCAAGTGTCCGTGCACCAGTGCGACCCCAGTATTGCCCGAGAGCCGACGGAACCCACCACGTCCATATAGAGGTGAAGATCCGAACCAGACGCCTCTGGCACCTGCCAATACTACCTCCCATTATACTCCGCCAAGAAAGTACCCCAGAAGTCCAAATCGTCCTAATGTAGTGCGGAGGCCTCGCTACCCAAGTGCTCGCGGTCGCCAGGCGCCTGCTGAAAATCCGCCCCATGGGCATGATCCGGCATGCGAAGTTCAACTTCCCCAACAGAGATTGCAGCCGGCAAAGCTGTTTCTTCCGCAAGCCCCGTGCCGCCGTCACATCTTGGCGCAACCCCTCCACCTTGTCCAGAGGCTGCCAGCACTCCATGGCCACCCAATCTATCTCGATGCCCAGGAAGCTAAGGCACATAAGGAACCCAAAAGCGCCCAAACACCCTTTCCACCGTAGTGAGCAAGCTCCTACATGCCGGAGAATGCGCAGTGCCCGCACACAGGAAGTCGTCAAGGTAATGCAGCAGTGAGTCGATCCCCGACTCCTGCCGCACCACCCATTCCAGGAAAGTGCTGAAGCACTCAAAGTAAAAACAGGATATGGGGCAACCCCTTGGGGAGGCACATATCCATGTAGTACTGGCACTCAAAATTACAACCGAGGAGGTAATGGCAATCAGGGTGCACTGGCAATAAGCGAAACGCTGATTCCACGTCTGCCTTTGCCAGTAATGTCCCAGGGCCCGCCGTCCTGACCATGTGCACCCGACACAGCTCGGAGAGATATCATCATTCACCGAGCCCCCGTGAGGGTACGATAAATGGTGAATCAGGCATAATTTTCCCGCCTCCTTCTTGGGCACCACGCCCAAGGGAGACACCCATAAGTTGGATAGCGGAGGGACCTCAAACGGCCCCACCACCCGCCCCATCGAAACCTCCTTCTGGAGTTTTTCGAGGCCCACTTCAGGAAACTCAAACACTGACTTCAAGTTCCGAACCGCCCCAGAGGAGGGGCACTCTGAGAAGGGAATCCAAAACCCCTGGGTAAACCCCTCTAGTAGCAACCCCACAGCCCGGTGGTTCCTATAACGGGCGAGCAAGGGGCGCATCACGTCCACAACCACTGGCGTCTTTGCCCTTAGCCTTTGTCCCCAGATTTTCCCCTCTTAAAGCAACGGGATGCCGAGTGGGCACCCTCTCAATGGGAGCATTCGTGTTTAAAATGGCACGTCGCACCCCACTTGCATTGGTTGTCGTTGAACTTCCAACAACAGCCCGGCTGTCAATGTGAGGACAATGGGGCAGAGCAGCCCCTGCCACCGCCCAACCCCAAGAAAGGACAACGTCCCCCCTTAGTGTGTCGCTGGGCGAGTCATGATGGACAGCCACAGGCCAATGTGTAGGAAAGCTTGAAAGGAGAAAGGGAAAGGGGGTACTGGAGAGTAAAAAGAGGGAGAAGAAGGAAAGGCAGGGGGAGGGGAGGGGAGGAAAATGGCCCAGAAAAGGCCCCCAGAAATGGAAAAACCAACGGGGGGCCCCAGAGTCAGAGGGGGGGTAGAATAGCAGGGAGGCAGCAGAAACTTTGCCCACGGATCCCCCGGAGGACGGGAGGGGAAGGGGGGCCCAGAGGCCCAGGGGGACACCCCCACCCCACGCGATGTCCGGGAAAGTAAGAGGCAGAAGGAATGGAAGCAGGGGACACCCGAAGCCCATAAATAAGGGAAGAACCCCCCCTCACCCAACGGCAGTGGGAGAGACCCACTCCGCGTGCCCCGCAGGGGCCTACTCTCCACTACTGGCCGTGATGGGGTCCCAGGGCGGCATGCCACGCGCCACCCGGGCCGATCACCGGGCCACCATCCTGCTGGAGTGAGGGATTGAGTGGCCCCTAAGATACCGCTTCCCCGTCACCAGGGGCAGCAGGAGAAGTCAGGGAGGCAGGAGATGAAGCCACGTGGCTCCCATGCGCGTGCCTGTTGCCACCTCTGGCCTGGGCTGCGACTCCGTTACCGGGCCCGAGAAGATGCAGTGAGGCTCAGCCGACCCGCGATGGTACAGCCACCCTGGGGGGTGCCGTGGGGGAGGCAAAGCTTGAAAAGGCACACCGCTGGGAGGGGGAACCACATCGCCAGGCGGCTGTAGCTGGAGCAGGCGCCCAAACTGCTCAAGGAGCTGCCGGCCACCGTCTGCTGCTGCACCAGCCCTGAGGGCAGACAAGATAGCCTTAATGTCCATGCCCCAGGCCCGAAATCCAACAGGCCCAAACAACAGGAGGAGGTGGATCACAGGAAACGTGGCACTGAGGTAATTCTGATCTGTCACCACCCACTTCCTCACATCTCACACTCCCACACATAGCCCATAGCCAATCATGCATCATCCATCCCACACTCATACATGTGCCCCTGTCCGCTAAGCTGTACACTCTCCCTGGGGTCTTTCTCTGAACTCTCTCTAAAGTAACCTTTCCTGGTAAGTTTTATCCTGCAATCCATGAACCAGTTTAGTAACCCTTCTCTGAACTCTCTCTAAAGTATCAATATCCTTCTGAAGATACGGTCTCCAGTACTGCATACAATACTCCAAGTGAGGTCTCACCAGTGTTCTGTACAATGGTGTTACGATTGCCTCCGGTCTAGCAGGAGCTTGGATGTCCTGGTTACCGAAGTTGGAGAGTCGAACGCTGCTTCAAATGGTAGAAACCTGTAAGTGTAGAATATCCCGAGGCTGCAAGTTGAGGGTAAAACGAACTGGCTTTAATGGCACACAGGCATCACTATTTATGCAAAACCCCAGGACCAGGGACAACCCCCTCTGGAGCTGATGGGATACAGTGACAATACGATCAGTTGCCCAATAGTAATACAATAGTAATACAATGTATCCTTTGAAATTGTTACCGCCCAGCTTGGAGATAATGAGTCCAACGGTTGGGACAATGTAATTATTTCCAAGCGCCCAAAATCCCATGTTTTATTACAACATATAAAACTGTATAAAAGTACATAACTTTAATACTTAACAGACATATTTCCCATTCCACCGTTCATTATGTAGCCCAGTTCTGAGCACAGCAGATGGGCGAATAGCGCTCAGAACTCACGAATGATATGGCTAGGTTCCTTGATATAAAGTCGTTTTGTGTCTTTTGTCCCGAACACGAGATGGCGGCCATGTTTTAAGGTTGATAGATGGACAGTGGGACATGGACCTAAAACCCCTGGAATGAGTAACGGCTGAACAATTACTCGAATCCCGCTCACAGGCTGGTTGTCTTACCGAACTGAGACCGCCATAAAAGGGGGTACTTAAGCTGCGGTTAACCTCAGTTTCAACGTTCTAATTGAGAACACACATCAGGATGCGGGTGGGCCTCGTTCGGGAGTCTTTCGTGGTTCAGTTCAGTGAATTATTACACGAACTAGGCCACCCGGAGATCGTCAATTATGCTTGTGGTTAACCGCAGACCGCAGCTTCCTGGCTGTCAATTAGCGGCACACTTCGCTCGTGGGGTGGTCGGCTGTTCGGTACTTTCAAAGGTGACCGGGTTAAGTGGCGGCACACGCCAAGGGCTGGGTGGTACATCGTTTGTATACACGAATAAATAGTTATAATGGGTCAGGGAATGTGTTCACACAGTCTGAATACCGAACAGGGTATTGGTAAACAAAAGGAAGTACTTCTGCAACAGTTTGTAGGGTTCTTGTAACAAATGGCATGAGCACTTCCCTCTTTCTACTACTAATACCTCTCCCTATACAACCAAGCATTCTGCTAGCATTTCCTGCTGCTCTATTACATTGTCTGCCTACCTTTAAGTCATCAGAAATAATCACCCCTAAATCCCTTTCCTCATATGTTGAGGTTAAGACTCTATCAAATATTCTGTACTCTGCCCTTGGGTTTTTACGTCCAAGATGCATTATCTTGCACTTATCCACATTAAATGTCAGTTGCCACAATTCTGACCATTTTTCTAGTTTACCTAAATCATTTGTCATTTGGCTTATCCCTCCTGGAACATCAACCCTGTTACAGATCTTAGTATCATCAGCAAAAAGACATACCTTACCATCAAGACTGTAATGGACCATTTTGAACACAAGGGGAAAAAAACGTTTAGGCGATTAGCCCCCTTTCCAGAGATACAGGCACAGCTACTGCAGAACACCAAATTCCCGAACTGGATACAAAATAGCACTCCAACTCCCGAACTGGAACCTCCCAAATAGCTGCTAGCAGACGAACAGGAAAAGCAGACAATCAGCTTACACTCCTGGCAATCAGTCTCTAACAGCATACAGTGAATCCCCCCAAGAACGAGACAAGGCTCCATGTTGAGGGTCAAGCAGTGGTCTGAGGTGCTGGCACACCCAGCCTGGTTTTTATTACAGTCTTGCAAATACAGGACCGGGAGGTATAAAATATCCAGTAACATATTAGTTACAACCCACAGATTCCCTCCCCCTTATCCTGAGAGGTAACCCAATTAGCTCTTCCTTTTTACCACAATGCATCCTGGCTTCCTCTCCTCTGCCCAGGAGATAATTGAGAAGTAATTAAATTATCTCCCAGGACAGAGATAAAACTCCATTATGCACATGGTTACACAAAACAAGCATTACTGTTAAAATACACCAGGTAAGACACATTACATTAAAACTATACATTTAACATATCCCCAGATAGCTCAGGTCTGAGCGCACATTATTATCAGAATGGCGCTCAGACCACACAAATGCAGTTTAATCGCCATGGAGCCAAAGTCTTTACAGTCAGTTTCATATGAATGGGCTCCATGGGATTCCTGTCTGGGGTATAACACATTCAAACAAATCTACCGAACCCCAGGCAGAAAAGCACGAATTAAGCTTTTCTGCAGGTAAAAAAAATGTCTTTTAACAGGGGGCCATAGTCCAAAGGCAGCAGGCGAGCAACCAGGCTTCTCCAATGCAATGTGGCGAGATTGGTCTCGTCACAAAGACCTTCTGCAATATCACTAATAAAAATATTAAAGAGAATGGGTCCAAGTACAGATCCCTGAGGTACCCCACTGGTGACAAGTCCAAGCTTCGAATATATTCCATTAACTACAACCCTCTGTTGCCTGTCACTCAGCCACTGCCTTACCCATTCAACAATATTGGAATCCAAACTTAAAGATTGCAGTTTATTGATAAGCCTTCTATGTGCAACAGTGTCAAAAGCCTGTATTAGAAATCATATTAATTAAGTAGTTGGTGACTGTAGGTAATTCATTTTAGGGATATTTGAAATACCACGGTTATATATCTACCTTCTGTTTTGTAAATTAGGTCAGCTGAGTTTTACCAGCCCTTTCCCTCCCTCTTGCATGCCCCTTGACAAACTAGTCAATATCGCTCAATATAAGATCATTTCAGCTCCACCTACTATGCCTGACAATGAACATGGCACTGTATCTGTCCTCTTTATTTAGAATTGGACAGTTTGGAGTTCCATCCTCTGTGAAGAATTCCCCTTTTGTAACCTAGTAAACATTGCCCATCACATTACAACATTGCCTCATCAACTTTTGCTGTAATCTGGTTTGGGCCTCATCAGTGTTACATTGGTGTTACATTGTGTTGTCTTTACTTTCAAGTATTTACTTTCTAAGTTAGCAATGACTAATTAGGTAACTGTGAATAGGTTAATTAAATTTATGTCAGGCTAGCTGCCTGCTTACCTCTCCACTCGGCTGTACACTGCCCTGTTCCCTCTGGTGTTTCGAATGATGCTGCACGCATGTGCACAGCGTGCATTGACGTGCGCCTGAATGTGGTCCTGAATTTAACGTTCACCAAACCGAATGCCAAACTTGGGGAAATCGAATTCAACGCAAAAATATGACCTCCGAGGTCACACTAGAATGAATCATAAGAAATTGCAAGATGACCTGGACCAATAAGAAATAACACCTGCCTATATATGCTCACCCCTCCCGTTCCTTGTGACTTTGTAGTAGTTTTTGTTAGCGTATTACAGTTGGTAATTATCTTGGTTCTTTGGTGATTCTTTGACTACAGCTTGTTTAAAGTTTATCCTGATTTCTGTATTCCTTTGACCTCGGCTATTCTCTCTGACTCTGTTTATCCATAAACCTGGCCATTCTAAGGACCAGCATATGGAAAGTTTATTTATTGTGATTCAGTCTGTGTTCTGGTTCCGCCCGATCCTGACAGTTTGGAAATGATGTGCTCGCAACTTCAACCAATAGGATCATGGTGGGATATTTAAAGGTCTAGAGGGATTTGCACTCCTGAAAAGTTGTGAGTAAAACTTGTGTCGAGATCTTTCCTCTGTGTGTATCTCTATTTCCCTCCCATAAAGCCCCTTATTTCATATCAACAGAGTAGGCTACTCAGGCCTTCTGAGCTACTGTTTCTGTACTAGGGTAAATTTAGAGAACAGCCTTGACACTGATCCTATTTCCTCTCCTTCTATTGCGCTATATTTATTTTGTTTTGTACTCCATACTAGCACTATGAGAGCAGAGGTGTACTGGCATGACCCCTAGTGTTGACATAGGTGTATTACATTTATCTTTCTATACTTCTTCGCTACTATTTCAGATTTTGAGTATAGTGACACTTAGGCGATAAAATAATGAGAGTATGACACCTGCTGGTGACCAGTTGGTATTCCTTTCAGGGAAAATTGAATAGCATTTAGAAATGTATTATTTGAAATTGGATCTCGTTTTGATATTTGACTTTGTAACAGGTGTGGCGGGATTGCCTAAACTGTGAATTGCCTTGTTTCTTTGGGTGTGGATGTGCCTTCTAGAATGTGTGTTTTTCCTCTTTCCTATTCCTTTTTCTATAAGTTTGACTATAAAATCCTGCAATTTGCCTTTTGACTGGCCGGGGGCTAACGAGGTGTGAAAACCACAGACTGCAAGGGAACGAGCGGCGTGTGCTGCCCTTGGGTGGCCGTCGGATCGTATTGCCGAATGCCCACCAGGGGGAACATTCGTCTCCCGAACAGTGCCGGACCACCATGATACTCCAATTAGAACATTCACACCTCGCTAATGAGGTGTGAAAACAGCAGACCGCAGGGGAACAATCAGTGTGTGCCACCCCTGGGTGGCTGCCGGTTTGTATTACAGAACGCCCACCAGGGGGAGCATTCATCTCCCTAATGGCCTGTGTACACTGTCTTTGATCCCGGTGTCAGGGATTACCCTACCCACTCCCAACAGAGCTATAGTCACTCCTCCCTTCCCTTGTCCTACCCGTAGTCCCTCATCCCTGTCCCTCACATGGGAGCTATGAGGTTACGCTCATGGCTGCCCTGGAGAGGGACGCCCACCAGTCCTGAGGGTCCCTGGGGTTGCGAGTTGGGAGAGGGAGCGCCCATTCAAAACTCGGTTCGCACCACTCTCCTGGTTGGCCGGCACGAATAAAGCGTGGGTTGGTCGCCGCAGGGTGCGAGCGACCAATCCGAGGAGGAGCACTTGTTCAAATGGGGTTACACGCCCTTCCCTCGGATTGGGCGGCGAAACCCTTCCCGTCCTTGGGCGCCTCTCAGCGGATTGGTGACATCAGGTTTCACGCGATTGGGCCACGAAACCCCCATCCTCCTCATGCATGGATTGGTGCAACCGAGTTTCGCGCCCTTCTTTCGGATTGGGCGGCAAAACTCCTTCCTCCCCTTAACGCTGATTTGCGCAATTTGGCTCGCGCCATTTCGACTGATTGGTCATTGCTTGGCTTAGGCGCGAAGATTGAATTCGGCAGACTAAACCAAGCAATGCCATGGAACTGATTTTAGGGATGTACAGAGCCTTAAGCCCAAGACTTTCGACGCTGATATCTCTGCCTCTGTACATCTGATCGCCCCACTTTTTACAAGGATCCCAGATGAGACTTGGGGCTATTCCCCCATATAAAATGTAACCCTGTACCCCCTCCCTGTCCCGGGGCGCTGAGCCCCAAAGTTCACCAACCTGTATGTGAAGTGTACTCATGCGTGTCCCTGTGTCCTATTAGTATCTCCCAAAGCGGTAGATGGTTATCTGTTCCCAGCCCCTTCTGTATGCGCGGTAGTCTGTGCATAAAAAGCTGTGTGCCCAATATACATTGTCAAACATTGTATCCTGGAACTGTGCCCCATCCTGGGGAAATGGGTCCGACCTACTCTAACCAAAGGGGATAACCAGCGATGTTACCCAGGTCCCGCTACAACAGGAATTAGGGGGTTAGACCATGGTAAAGAATAGAGTTGAGCGAACCTGAACTGAAAAATTCGGGTTTATACCAAACATTAGGTTTTTTGGTCCCCGAACCGAACACGGACACATCATTGTATGTTCAGGTTGGAGTTCAGTGTTCGTCGATTTAATAGCGCATTTTCAAAGGCTGCAGGGCAGCCAATCAACAAGCGTTTGACTCATGTGCCCTTAGAAGCCATCACAGCCATGCCTACTACTGGCATGGCTGTGATTGGCCAGTGCAGCCTCTATATATAAGCTGGAATCGCGTAGCGGTCTTATTAATGTAGGGAGAGGATGCTGCCGTTGATAGGGACAGCTTAGGAAAGAATTCTGCAAACTAGTGCATTAGTTGGGTGGGATGCACTTCATATCTGAGAGTCAAATAAAAGCTTCAAATACTCGGTTACATCGGAGTTTTAAAAAGTAATTTTTATTTTGGTGCTAAATAGTACATTAGTGGGGTAGTACATTAGTGGGGTGCACTTCATATCGGAGAGTCAAATAGAAGTGTCTAATAGTCTGCTTACAGCGTAGTGGTAAACATTCTTATTTTCTGGGTGCTAATCTGCTAAATAGTACATTTTGGGGCCTGCTCTTCATATCTGAGAGTTAAATAGAAGCGTCAAATAGTGCGCTTACTGCGCACTTGTAAACATTCTAATTGTTTTGCTGCTAATCTGCTGCTTACATTGGAGTTTTAAAAAGTCCATTTTTTTTGGCGCTAAATAGTATATTTGGGGTGCTCACTTTATATCTGAGAGTCAAATTGAAGCGTAACTTTGATTCGAATTTACTACATCGGTCACTTGTAATATTGTTTCACACCTACAACACTTGTTAAACAGATCTAAGTGATAGAAAACAGATTGATATTTTCTACACTAGAAACTACCAGATAACAAGCTGCTATATTTAAACCAGTGATCAATAGCTAAGAGGTACTTCAACAATATTGTAATTCTGGGCAATACCCTCACAAGTCAAACTGAGAGGTCTGTTTATAGGGAAAACTGTTGCCTGGAGGAAATTCTTAAACAATTTCCATATGTCCTTTGCAGACTTTACATGCTGGAAAAACACAGGTGCCAACTGCTGTGGCTTTCTGCAGTGTGCATACCGGCAAGGAGGGCAGGGTTGAGGAGTGGGTGGAAGATGATGTCGAGAATGATGAGGTCCTACACCCCACATGGAATCAAGGTCATGCGAGTGACGTGTGCAGTTTGGAGGAAGAGGCGCTGTGACACAGAGGCACCAGCACAGCATAAGAGGGAGCATGGTGCAAAAGCGGAGCGGACGTCCCCTAGCGCTAGTCGACATGTATTAGCTCGAGAATTACCAGTTATCCAAGTAATACATGTAGCGATCAAAGGAACTATAATAGACTTGAGCGAACCCCGAACTGCAAAGTTCGGGTTCGTACCAGATTTAACAATGCATTCATAGTTTCACAGTGAGGTGGGCAGTCTGGTGACCAGGACCCAGACACTGTCCGAATGTGACATTCACTGTAGCGGCTGTGCGCGATTTTGGCGTTGTCACCCTGCTGCTGCTCACCTGGCTGCACTACAGCAAAACTTCGGCCTTCCCGCTCACTTATCTCCAATTGATCAGAGTTAAAGGATTTCAAGTGTACTCATTACAACTACAGAGCCTCAAAAGAGTCCTGTATTGTTATTTGTCGTCACTACCTTCCCGCATTGGGAGTGGGTCATTTGCGCGCGTGCTGTCTTCCTTGCACGTGGTAGCCGTTTCTCAGGGTCCCTGTACGAAATGGAACCCTGATTCCCCATTACCCGTGGTCACTATGGTAGGCGCAGAAACTGGCATCGAAAGTTGATATGGATGACATCCGCATGCAAAGTCGCCGCCACGGGGATATGCGATTTGCCCGAGGTTCTCTAGATTCAACAAAGTTCCTGCGCAACTATAATGTCAACAGCTACTCTGCGGAACAGAGTTGTCTTTTTTATATGTCCCAATATTTTGGGGGCTACCCCAATTAAAATAAAATAATATATATATATATATATATATATAAACAGTGTTGGCTACCTCATCCTCCTGCTCCACGGTCACAGCCTTCTCAACCTATGGGTCACTTAGTATAAACTAGGTACACATTAGCAGAGGCTTGTGAAGGCCTTTTCTCCATGCATCAGGAGTTGAGCTCAGTCTGAACAATTAAAGAGAATACCCTGCACTCCAACCCTCTCTCAAATGGATAATTCTGTTTTTTCTCCTGACAGCCATGCTTTAGATTTTGATTTATGTTCTTCCAAAGCTAAAATCAAAGATTCCATCTAGTGCTATTTTATGGCTCAGCTGTATTTTACATTTTTATGTTATTTAAAGTGATTTCCCTACCCACATTTGTTTACAGGGCACTTGTCCTACTCTTACCCCATTTTACATCATTTTGCAGCTCTCTAGCCCTTTCCAGGAGTTTTTAGAGGCATTTTTGTGGCCAAAAGTTCGGGTCGACTTTGACTTCAATGGGGTTCGGGTTTGGGGTCAAGTTTGGGGTCAAGTTCGAGCCCGAACCCGAGCTTTTTTTTTTTAAAGTTTGGCCGAACCCGCCGGACCCGAACATCCAGGTGTCCGCTCAACTCTAGTAAAGAAATTTTAAAATGTGATGCTTTTTAAATATATCCTCTATATACATTGACTCTAAAGGGCATTAACACAAAAAATGCCTTACATTGTTTTTTGGATGAGAGATAAATAGCAATTTAGTTATCTGCCCATGCTGGTTATTAGACCTTTATAAATGTATATCGCTATAGAATGGATCCTATTGCAGAGTAATTGTGGAATAAACAGTATGGAGAACGAATTATTTCCCCAGAGTCTAACAGCATACATTAGTATGGAATAATCACTGAGATGGTTTAGAAGAGAATACTTGGTTGTGAGCTGACATAGTCATAACCAATATACACCAACCGATATTTTAAGAATGCGAATGGCAACGAATCGCACAATAAAATCAGCAGTTGAGGTTTACCCTTGCTACCGCTACCGTACAGTTTTCGTTCATGGAAACCTGAATAGCCTCAGAAAAAAGGTATTAGTAATGCCATAATGGGTGGGTGGTCAATTGCCCACTTACCGTTACCTTTAATTTTTGTGTGAATCCTCTGTTTTCTTAGAAAAGATTCCAATCAATCATTCCTAAAGTAAGTTCTTTCACTTCATAATTTCTAGATATATAATAATCTGATTTCGTCAGTTCAGAATTGTCATTGCAAAAATGACTGATATTGTGAAGCCATTAGACCTTACAATCTTGAGCCATTTTTACATGTCAACACACTCATAGCCCTTTTTTTCCTGCTGTTCTGACTTCCGAATGGCTTTTCTGAATATGTTTAAGTACCGAAACTTGGCTGAAATAAACGGCAACATGAATTAAATTCTGTCAACCCAAATTCTTTTTTAAAATCTCAATTATTGCAGAAGAACCGAAATGTTTAGACCTGCGCAAGCTTGGTGCTCACTCCTTATCACGGCCTATGCAGTTGTTTTACTGAGAGTCATTATACGGTATAGTGACCAGGAATTGGTTGGCACCTTGTATTTTCTTTATTTTATCACCTCTCATTTGTTTGTTTAAATAATGCTGTTAAAGGTCCTAAAATAAAAAGCTGTTTCTCTCAGTTTATAATATGATTCTGTCAGTGATCGGACATTAAACACTCAAAGAAACCACAACCTCAATTTCCTGCAAAACAGTCTGTGGTCAGACACGTCCTAATATACAACGTACATATGCAGAAATGCAACATTGATAATTTTTTAGCTCTTCTTATTAACAATTTTATTATATATATATATATATATATATATATATATATATATATATATTTGTGAAATTATTCTTTATACAATGTACACATCCTGATATGCATTTGTTTCCCTGATGTCAAATAAATCTCAGTTGTTTGTAAAATTTTACAAATGTTAAAAATTACAAGATTTTTAAATAAAGACTCGAGATGTTTTATGTAAAAGCAAAAATGAAGGATCTGCTGAATCAATAGAAAGTTTCTGCTGAATTCTCTACACTTTCCATAGTTAGTTACATAGTTACAAGAAAATACGTATATATTGTGGGATAAAACTAATACTTGCATAATGGCAAAAACGCAATTGAGCTAATATGCCATGAGATGCTAAAATGAAAAGACAAGATGTTTTCTTAAAGTTTTGCCTTGTCATCTTAAGAGCCAGACAGTGAATAAATACATAGTGTCAATAAAGATAAGAGCAAAGATAAGACATATATTTGCTAATTAAAAAGTATTTGTTCAGCAAACATACATGCATATTCCTATAAGGTATATGATTAAGTTTAGTTATATACAAAATAGTAATATAGCATTATATATTCCTAGCAACATATACATTTGTAGAAACATATATATACATGTAAAGATGTAATTATCTATACATAGATTAAGTATGACAACTTAAAATCTTGAAATATAATAACGCTTAGGTAAGCTAAGGACAAACTGGTTTGAACAACCAAAGTCCAAATTGAGAAAGGAGAAACGCTGACTAAGAAGTTTTCAAATTAAAACATTCCTAAATTGTCCTGAACAAGAAGTTAATCTTAGATATAATAATAGCTGGTAATATTCCTGACATTTGTCAACAGCTCCACCTGCTGTTTGAAACATAAAGAGATCTAGAAATATATAGGACGACAGAGTTACCAGCTGTACTCTTATGCAGATGGAACATGAGATGGAGCTAAAGAAAGAAATGTGAATTTGTCTTGTTTATTATGGAGGGAACCCATCAGAGGATATCGTGGCCTGAACACTATAGGACGTACAGACATATCTGTTGGCGAAAGGTGATTGGGCGAACCAGCTACAATTAACCGAACGATGGGCATTAGATGTATCCCCAGTCAGTTCGGCAGCTCCTTACCACAAGCCCAAGATTCTCTATAATGAGTTCAATACATTCGCGGAAGCAAAGGAGGACATAGATGAATTTCTGCAGAACTTTGAATGTCTATGCCTGTTACATGACATTTCTACAAGAGATTGGCACTCCCTCCTGGCAGGGAAATTAACAGGAAAAGCTGCAGGCGCTTACCGAGCTGTGCCAGATACCGAACTGCGGAACTATGCTAGGGTGAAACAAGTCCTGCTGGCCCAATATGCAATTACACCAGAGGCATATTGCAAGAAATTCCATGAATCAAAGAAAAATGACAAGGATGCTTGCCGTCTCACCAGAGCAGCCCATAATTGGATGTAGGCTCAACAGGTGAAGACCCTGGAGCAGATACTACAAGTCTTTCTGCTGGAGCAGTTCAATAATGGCCTCCCCTCAGAAGCCCAAAAATTGGTAAGGGACAGACACCCCTAGCCCTAACAGAAACAGCTCAGCAAGCTGATGAGTATTTGGCTGCCCAGAGACCCCAATGGCCCAGCTACCGACATCACCTTTGTCCTGCACTTCCCTATAATCCTACTCCAGCACCACAACACCACAGCCAGCTGACACTGGTGACAATCCAGAGGGCGCCAAGTCGGACAAATACCCAGTGCAACCATGGCTTGAGGTATGGGCACATACCTGACCCCAGCAGAGAGACCTGTCCCAATGGGTATGTCCCAGACAACCACCCGCACCGTCAACTACTAACAGGCTGCTCCCTCCTACACTTCAACTCACACCGAGGAAGCCTGGGGTTTTCTGCACAAGGTTGACCTGTCCAAGCCGCAGCTGATAATAGGAGCCATCCTAGACAGTCAGTGAGGTTAAACGATACAACCGTACATGGTCTGTGGGACACAGGTGCCACACTGACCCTGGTACAGCATCAGCTGGTCACAGAGGTGAAAAGACAGGAGGAACAGTGGCCATCTGGGAAGCAGGGGGAGCAGTATACTCCCTACTAGCTGCTAAGATTCACCTAGACTGGGGTGCTGGAAATGGAATGGTCGAGGTGGGACTCATGCACCACCTGCCTGCAGAAGTTCTACTGGGCAACGACCTGGCACAACTTACCTCCACCTCCCTTTCCCTTGCCCCATTCCCCCTTCTCTGGAATATACCTGAGAGTTTGAAAGGGAGGTAGCATTGGCTCCCTCCCTGCAGAAATATAGGAACAAAGTAGCCACTAGTATCACACACAATCTGATATATATTGTATGTCAGATTGTGTGTGTTTTTTGTATTCCGGCATATAGTATGAGACTTAAGGGTGTCAGGGAGTCTCACTACAAAAAAAGACCTACCGGGAGATTTGGGATGTCTGCTTATGCCTTAAGCTTCAGCCTTTGTCAAGATTGTCAAGTGTAGGAAAAATACACAATCCAAAATAGTCCCTACTTTTTCATGTTTTAAAAAGAAATAGAAAAGAAATGAAGAACAGATTCTGAAAGCGGAAGATAAGAGCAAACAATCCGAGGAAGGTAAGTTTGAGGTGACAGATACACTTTAGGTTTTCTCAACCGCTTATCCTTCCTCCACCATAATTCTTCAGTACGCAGTTCTTCAAGACAAACCATGGTTCTTAAAAGATCCAGTGAGATGGCCAAGATCTTCGTTCTCACACGCTAGGCATCTATTGAGCATCATTTTAACTCTTTGATATGTTATCACTATACAAACAGGTATCTGGTACACAATGAGTGTCTCCCTCTTCACACCCATATCACTATGAAGTAGTCAGGGTACCAGGTCCCCCAGGTTTTAACTCTGCAACTGTAAACATAGCAGTGTAACGGACCGTTTCTCTCACAAGGGGATAAAATCGTTTAGGCGATAATCCCCTTTCCCATAGACCAGCAGCTATTGCAATCACCAACTTCCCGAACTCCAAACTGTACGAATCCCCAACTCACGAACAAGAAATACACGAACTCTGGAAGCAGCCGAACAGGAAAAGCAATACGAATGGCTTACACTCCTGGCAGTCAGCACACAATCCAATTCCCCCAATAACGAGACGACACTTCGTTTTGAGGGTTAAGCAGAATCTAAGGATTTATTCACACAGCCTCCTTTTAAGACATTCTCCCATGCAAGGGAGGGATCCACAACAATTAGTACCCCAGCCAATAATGTACCAGTTACCTCCCACACATCTCCTCCCCTTAGTGTGACACATAATCCCATTAGTACAGACACAAATTCCCTGGGATACTGGATGTACCCCTAAACATAGGAATACCCCTTTAAATGTTACATCCCCTGGTAACCCTGATCTGGGTGAGACACATATCCAAAAATCACCCAGATCGGACCAGGGGTTCAGGAATTAGAAAGGGTTAAAGTTTTGACCGACTGCATGGCAAAAGTATCCGAAAATAGTTCCATGTATTTTGGCCCTGCAGTCGGTCACAGAAAAGGGAATCAAACACACGAATGGCCTGTGTTACAGAGCTTGGGGAGGATTTGTATGAATCCCCCTGTTCGTGGGATCCTTTCTACCGAACGGCGGGCCGTTCGGTAGTTTCTGCACGAATTGCTGGAAGTCTGGAGGTCTCAGCGGTGTTTGCTTAGTCAAGTGTCCGATTTTAGTTCCAGACACTCGACGGCAAAACACCGCTGTTCGGGAGTTTAAGATGGCCGCCGCCACGTGTTCGTTTCCCGAATGGCGGCCACCCAGAGGACACAACACACATTACACATATTGCCAATTACCCGTTTGCAACATTGTTGCAAACGGTAATTGGAGGCACACTTACTCCCGGGTGGTCTGGTTGTTCGGTAGTTTCACCCAATATAATGAATGAAGTGATTCTACCGAACAATCAGGGGAATGCTGCATTCACATCACACTTTATACTGAACACATAATATTAAATACAGCCTGAATGCAATTTGCTACATAGTCTTAAAAAGGCATTATTCCTAACAGGCAGAATATGTTCACGGATGGCCCTTAAAGGGCCAGTAGCAGCAATATAAGAAGGTCCCATGCCCAAAGATTGCATACAAAAGTACGAATTCACAAGGGGCCATAGTCAGATGGCAGGAGGCTGGCAACCAGGCTTCTCCAGTGCATAGTGGCGAGGTTGGTTTCGCCACACTTCTCCCCTTTACCAATCAGACTAACAGGGTATCTGACCTCCTGCCGGTCAGTGCCCTTGTTAGTCCAGCAGCCCACCCACAAAACACAATCAGTAATACAGCCCACCCACCATAACTGGCTACTACACCTGGGTAGCGGAGAACTTTGTCCGTGTCCAGGTGCCTCACCATGGCTGTGTGGGTGACTGGTCAGCGTACTGGGTGGGTTGCTGAGTGGGCAGAGACCAGCGGTACTCTGTCCTGGGGCCAGCACTACCATGGGAGCAGTCTGGTTGGAGCCTGGTTGCTGGAGGAGAAGACAGACTGTCTCCCCTTTGCCTAAACAGTCCTGCTGCTGGTTGACAGGACCGACTGTCCCTACCCCCGGTGGTGCATGTGCAGCGACTACTGTCCCATCTGCACTGTTGTGGAGATTACTGTCTCCCCTGGGTGGGCTAAGCTGCCGCTGGGGAGAGGGTGTAACAAGCTCCTCTCCCATACATACTTTCAGCCGCTGGGGAGAGGGGATAACAAGCTCCTCTCCCTGACACTCTCTCTGCTGTTGAAGGGGGAGACCGACTGTCTCCCCTTTCAATAATTCGTCCTGTTGCTGGGGAGAGGTGATAACTGGTTCCTCTCCCTGGAACACTCTCTGCTGTTGGAGAGGGGGACTAACTGTCTCCCCTTTTAATATATTGTCCTGCTGCTGGGGAGCGAGACCGACTGTCTCCGCTTCCTGCAGGACACACTGCCGCTGGGGAGGAAGGACGGCACCTTCTGCTCCCTGGAACACACACTGCCGCTGGGGAGGACGGACGACACCTTCAGCTCCCTGGGACACACACTGCCGCTGGGGAGGAAGGACTGCACCTTCAGCTCCCTGGGGTACACACTGCCGCTGGGGAGGAAGGACGACACCTTCAGCTCCCTGGGACACACACGGCCGCTGGGGAGGAAGGACGACACCTTCAGCTCCCTGGGGTACACACTGCCGCTGGGGAGGAAGGACGACACCTTCAGCTCCCTGGGGTACACACTGCCGCTGGGGAGGAAGGACTGCACCTTCTGCTCCCTGGGACACACACACTGCCGCTGGGGAGGAAGGACGGCACCTTCTGCTCCCTGGGGTACACACTGCCGCTGGGGAGGAAGGACGGTACCTTCCGCTCCCTGGGATACACACTGCCGCTGGGGAGGAAGGACGGCACCTTCTGCTCCCTGGGGTACACACTGCCGCTGGGGAGGAAGGACGGTACCTTCAGCTCCCTGGGATACACACTGCCGCTGGGGAGGAAGGACGGCACCTTCTGCTCCCTGGGGTACACACTGCCGCTGGGGAGGAAGGACGGTACCTTCAGCTCCCTGGGATACACACTGCCGCTGGGGAGGAAGGACGGTACCTTCAGCTCCCTGGGATACACACTGCCGCTGGGGAGGAAGGCGGCACCTTCTGCTCCCTGGGGTACACCTATGAGTCCCTGTAACGCACTCTGCCTCCGGATAGGGCGGCTGATACCTTTGGCTGGATCTGCCATGAACTCCAGGTACTCGTCTACCTGGCTCCTTACGAACTGCACGTATTTCTCCGGGGGGTTGGGTCCAAAGAAAGCCAGCCACATAGCAAACTCTCTGTCATACTGCTCCTGAGTGTAGCTAGGTGCCATGCTTGCGCTGCTGAAGTTGGCTCTTTTGTCGATAGGGTCGCTGTACGTGTACTGGCGTTGCCCTCACTTTGTAATCCAAGGAATGGTGTTGCCCTCACTTTGTAATCCAAGGAATGGTGTTGCCCTGTAGCTGTCTTTCTGGTTGTAGGAACGATCCCGCCGCTTGCCACCAATTGTAACGGACCGTTTCTCTCACAAGGGGATAAAATCGTTTAGGCGATAATCCCCTTTCCCATAGACCAGCAGCTATTGCAATCACCAACTTCCCGAACTCCAAACTGTACGAATCCCCAACTCACGAACAAGAAATACAATTACTCTGGAAGCAGCCGAACAGGAAAAGCAATACGAACGGCTTACACTCCTGGCAGTCAGCACACAATCCAATTCCCCCAATAACGAGACGACACTTCGTTTTGAGGGTTAAGCAGAATCTAAGGATTTATTCACACAGCCTCCTTTTAAGACATTCTCCCATGCAAGGGAGGGATCCACAACAATTAGTACCCTAGCCAATAATGTACCAGTTACCTCCCACACATCTCCTCCCCTTAGTGTGACACATAATCCCATTAGTACAGACACAAATTCCCTGGGATACTGGATGTACCCCTAAACATAGGAATACCCCTTTAAATGTTACATCCCCTGGTGACCCTGATCTGGGTGAGACACATATCCAAAAATCACCCAGATCGGACCAGGGGTTCAGGAATTAGAAAGGGTTAAAGTTTTGACCGACTGCATGGCAAAAGTATCCGAAAATAGTTCCATGTATTTTGGCCCTGCAGTCGGTCACAGAAAAGGGAATCAAACACACGAATGGCCTGGGTTATAGAGCTTTGGGAGGATTCGTATGAATCCCCTTGTTCGTGTGATCCTTTCTACCGAACGGCGGGCCGTTCGGTAGTTTCTGCACGAATTGCTGGAAGTCTGGAGGTCTCAGCGGTGTTTGCTTAGTCAAGTGTCCGATTTTAGTTCCAGACACTCGACGGCAAAACACCGCTGTTCGGGAGTTTAAGATGGCCGCCGCCACGTGTTCGTTTCCCTAATGGCGGCCACCCAGAGGACAAAACACACATTACACATATTGCCAATTACCCGTTTGCAACATTGTTGCAAACGGTAATTGGAGGCACACTTACTCCCGGGTGGTCTGGTTGTTCGGTAGTTTCACCCAATATAATGAATGAAGTGATTCTACCGAACAATCAGGGGAATGCTGCATTCACATCACACTTTATACTGAACACATAATATTAAATACAGCCTGAATGCAATTTGCTACCTAGTCTTAAAAAGGCATTATTCCTAACAGGCAGAATATGTTCACGGATGGCCCTTAAAGGGCCAGTAGCAGCAATATAAGAAGGTCCCATGCCCAAAGATTGCATACAAAAGTACGAATTCACAAGGGGGCCATAGTCAGATGGCAGGAGGCTGGCAACCAGGCTTCTCCAGTGCATAGTGGCGAGGTTGGTTTCGCCACAAGCAGTTTCAGAGAAACTGCTGTGTTTACACTGAGGGTTAATCCAGCCTCTAGTGGCTGTCTCACTGACAGCCACTAGAGGCCGTTTCCGCGATTCTCACTGTGAAAATCACAGTGAGAAGATGCTGGACATCCATAGGAAAACATTGAGTGATGCTTTCCTATGGGCGGTTTGAATGCGCATGTGCACTCAGCGCTGATGTCGGCAGCGCCAAGGGAGCCAGGCGCTGGAGAAAGGTAAGTGGCTGAAGGGGCTTTAACCCCTTCAGCCCAGCCTAAGGACTACATAGTGCCAGGAAAACAGGTTTGTTTTCCTGGCACTATAGTGGTCCTTTAATGATTGTAGCTGTGAGATCCACCTGTAGACTGAGAGGGCAACTCCCATCAAGCGTGTGTGTGTTATAGCTCACAGTGTCAGCAATGGCAAGGAACATATAATCTCTGTCACTCCAGCTGTTGTGGGATGGAACTGAATAAAAAAATCAAAAACAACAAGCACAATAAATAAAAGTAATGCCCTGTTTGAGTTATGTGTCCACTTTCTTACTCTTTCTCTAAGTGTATCCAGACAATTCCTTTCTATACATGCTCTGTATATTTACTAAGAGGTAATTATATTGCCCTGACTTTGGGAGCATAAGTAAAAGTGAAACAATCTGTTCTTTATTTCAAATTAGTAAATATGAATCATATCACAGAATTTTGATGTTTTATTAAAAGATTATTATTTTTGTTTATCTATGTGGTTTTTTTCACAGATCCAGTGCAGGAATGAAAAACAATTCTCCAGTTGCAGCGAGCGTCCAATCTTTGCACAGCTCCCCATTTCATCTGTTTTATTGAGGATTCTAAAGGATTAATAAGAAACAGATTACAGAGACGTTCTTCCAGCTCAGAATTTCATCATTGGCGCCTGATTTAATGCTTCAATACAAAACCAACCAATAAACAGAATATAGTCAGCATTATTCTCCATAGAAATAACAATATAGAATACATACATAAACGGAATAATCGATGAAATATCCAGAATCCCTCACCACCAACTCTCTGTGAGATGCATTAAGAACTAAAGAATCCATTATTTATTTACCTAAAGATTTAATAAAAGTCCAACTGTTCATAATGTCTAGATTCTGTATCACCATGTTCCATCACCTTAAAACCCATTCCAGTAAACGCCAGGGCTGGGATCCTT